TAATTTTCAGTCAGTACAATACAGATGTAAATAGAAGATTGGTGGGAGGGTAAAGCAGAAGGGTTTTGCCTTCATTTGTACTATATATTGTTGCCTTATTTAAAAGGACAAGTGTGCAAAAAAGTAATGGCTAGTGCCTGTTTATTGTGAAGACAGGTTAAAAAGTCTCCTTTGTGTGACTGATGTTGGGGTGATTAAGGGGAGAGGAGCAGGTCTCCATTTATAAAGCACTGTCTGGCAAATAAAGAGAGAATGGAAAACAAATTAGTTAAGATCAGAAAATCAAGCATTGGTGTGGTATCCCTGACGTATGTGTGACTTGTGACACTGAATTAAGTACAACCACATACTGCAGTAAATACCACGTGCCTTAAGTCACCAGAGCACAATTTTTTTAATTGATTAAGATTTTTTTAATTGAAATGGAGTGTGCAAGTCTGTCACTGGAACAAAAATGTTCTGTGTATTTGACTCTGTAAACTGAAACATGGGCATCAAGGATTGAACACCATAGAATAAAAGCAAAATCAGGATGGCACCTTTCAATAACATTAGGAAATACTTTTAACCCTTCCATGCCTTTTGTGCAGTGCTGTGTTCTGTTCTTTGTGATGATTAGGCAGAACTGGGATTTTGCTATTGTGCTATGATCTGCTGACCTTCACCTCAGAGCAGTCTGGTTTGAAACTGTATTTTTATTCAGGTGCACATTCGTGTGGCTTCACCTCCCATAAGATTTCCTTGTTACATGGGAATAAACATTCCAACTAAAGAAGAACTCATTGCCAACAGACCTGAATTTCATGATCTTGCAAACTATATAGGTAAATGCTATTCTTTTTTTTTCTCAGAGAGAGTTTTCACCTGTAGGTATTTTACTGTCTACATCAAAATAAAGCACAACACATCATGGCAACAGTGGCAAAACTGACTAAAAAATCATCAGGTTGATAGACTAGATCTCTGCATTTTGAGTACCCTATGGATCAAACCAATTTAGCTACACACCTTTTTTTAACATAGTGAATTATATTTCTCCAAACAATAGAAAGATTAGAATAATTGAATAATCATAAGTTACAAGTAAGGTGTGTCAACATAGCTTTCCAATACTTAGAGCTCCTTCAAGTCCTTATAAACAAGGAGCTACTGCAGGCAAAATACCAGGAAGAAAATGTGTGGTGAAAATCTGTCCTGTAATGAAAAGCTAATGTAGTTTCACTTTCATGAGATATTCATAAAAAGATGTCCAGAATTTATAAACACCCACTGATTTTTCTACAAATTTATGTAAATAATTTTAACTGCATTATATATTTCACTTTGAAATAAATGACATTTGAAACTAATCAAAGAATGATAAATACACTCAAATCTCTAGAATGAGTCAAGTTTGCAGCAGAACAAAAGAAGAACCAACAGCTAATGTTGCCTGTGATGTGGTAAGTAACGTGCTCTTCATCAGGATATCAGCTAGAGAAGTCATGTGAAGGCATGTGAGTGAGGAGATCTACTATATATGGCCTATTGTGCTGCAAAGTATTTTTAAAAAATAATTAAGAAAATATCTGTGGTTGCAGTTAGGAAACTGTAAAATCTGATTTTCTGTTTTAAATACATTTTTTTCCCCAAAAATTATTGTGAAGGCATGGTGAAATATTCCAAGTTTGCGGGATCTCATTTTTAAGTATTATCCACAAAATAACGAGTGCAAACGATAGAAAGCTGATGATGTGAAAAGGCTAACAAACTCGCCTTTGGCTAGAACATTTGGATGAACTGCATACTGAATTTAACATGATGGTCTTCCCCTCCTCCAAGTCCCAGTAGGGGTTCGTAGTCCCAGAGGCATGTAGTTTGGGATGTACCAGCCACACAGAGATCTGCCTCCAGACCCGAACTACAGGGTAACTCTGGGAAACTGCGGGGAGTTTAGGGAGTCGTAATACGCACTCTGGACTTTGCTTCTATTTTTGCGGTATGCATGGCATGTTTGTTCCTGACTCAGAGCCTTCTGTCTAGATTTACTGAAACCTAGTCCACTCCCTGCACAAAGAATTTGAGAAGGGCAAGGCTTATTATTGTCTGATAATTCTTCATATCCCTTCTCTTAAGGTGAGGTGATCCACCGCCGCACAATAATGCGACTGCATTTCCAAAGAGCATTGCGTTTGGTACGATATTGCAGCTTTTAACTGATGAATCCTTTATTTTCTCTAGGAGCAGACAGTGTTGTCTATCTTTCTGTGGAAGGGCTGGTATCGTCCGTGCAAGAAAGCATCAAAGCAAGGCAAGAGAATGAGAACAGCCTTAAAACCCAGAAGTCGCGTGTTGGAAAGATTGGTCACTGCACAGCGTGTCTCACTGGAGAGTATCCCGTAGAGCTAGAATGGTGAATTTTTAGTGGATGGACATCAGTTCATCTGTCATTGAATGTACCTTTTTCAAAGACGCCTTCTTGCTGATAGTCTTACATTTAGGTAACACGGAAAGCTTATTACAACTAATTACTGTTACTAAAACACATCTTTACAGTAAATACTTACCGAAAGTCCGATGTGCTGATGAAAACAATGTAAGCAGATTAAAATCATATAGTTTTGATGCACAGTTGTGCGTTCTATTTTCTCGTAAAATATTATAAAAACCAAAGGTTTTTTAATTATGTAGCAGTCCCAGAGTTTTTTGTTTCGGTCTTGGCCTGAAAGATGTCCCTGTTAGACTTGTTCATAAATCGTGAATCATGTGGTATAATTTCAAAGTCTTAATGCAAAAGTATGTGGGGTTTGCTTTTCTCCTTAGGAAAAATACCAGATTCTGAAGAACCAAATTGTTTCCTCAGCAGTTCTGGCTTAGGCTTTTTATGAATAGAAGTACCTAACTTTTGCATATATAGCTAAACAGCCTTTATTAATCAAACCCTTTGTAACAGATTCTATGAACATAAAGTCTATCATATGATTTTTAAAAATGAAGACTCAGGGAAATTCTCAGCCAAAAGCTCTCTAATTTTATAACTTTAAAATTTTTTTTTGAAGTTCAAAAATCTATCTTCATGTGCTTTTATCAGTTGCCAGTAGGATGTGGAAGGAGAAAAAATACTTGGCACTGCCATTTTTTTCTGTTTTACGTCTTGTTTTCTCCAGGATAAGTCCTGACAATTTCTGAAGTCTGAGCTAATGCTTGGTGTGCTTTTCGTATGTCAACATCCAAACTAAACTGAAAAATAAAGTCACTTTTCATTTTTAACAGTAAAAACAATGTGTCAGCTGAAGATTATGAGTTGTTTGGGGTATGGTCTTATTTTACTACATTACTGCTGTTACAATAATTGCAATGGTTTTTCTAAAAAAAAAAAAAAAAGTGTTGAAGAACCATTAGCTATTCAATGCCTTGTATTTTTTAATTGGTCACAATTACATGGTTACTTGTATACGTGAAGATGACTTAGACAATGAACCACTAGCTGAAAATGGAAATGCACCTTTTGAAAACTACTGCAAAGTTATGCACAATTGTAAAAATATTTTGTATACCTCAGGTTTTTTCACTGAATATCAGCAATTTAATTTTAGATTTTCTATTTAATATAGTGTATTTTGGCCTTATAATTATTTGTGGCACTATTAAAAAAAAAAGTTTAAGAGCTTCTTCCTTCCCCACCGTCTTCCACATAGTTGAGAATTACAGCACTGATTATTAAATTCAAAAGGGATCTTTCTTACATGGGATTTGTAGCAATTGTGCCTGATAGACAATCAAAACACACAAGTCCCAATTCAAGAAAGCATGTATGTACATTTAATGAGGTCAAGACTTTGCCTTGTGCAGTGGAATTGGAACTTACTTGCAGGCAAGCCTATGGGAGAATCTAGATTTTCATGAGCATTGGGCTCTGTGTGTTCTTCACCAAAGCCCAGATCTGCACATTGGGGGACGTATGTGAATCTCTTCTGTCTGATTAGCAAGTTTGTTTTTTTAACAGAACTGTAACAGTTCATCTGGATACTAAATTGAGCAAAAAAAGAAGAGGTTGGAGTCACTCTGACTTCCCCTCTCTTCCAGATTAACCAGGTAGGAGTGTGAGAAAATAGAAAAACTGTCATTAACATTTTTCACCTTTATTCTTTCATGCCCTCAAAAAAAGCAATGACTTTTAAAAGAAGGGATAAGTCAAGCTCTTAGGTTATAGATACGTGTGAGGAGCCCTTTCTACTTGAGATAACAGTTTAGGTGCACAGATTAACAAGGTTGCAAGCAGAAGTCTTATCAATTTATCTGACATTGTCAATAGAACAGACTGTAAATGAAACTTGTGCAAGTACTCTAACATGTTTTCAACAAAACTGGTATTTTTGAAGTCTGGCAATAATTGGTTAAATGTCATTTGAGCATTAGGTGACACAAGTCTGATTTCATTGAGTCCTAATGCTTTTTCCCCTCCGTGTTATGCATGTGAAATGACAGGGTCTTCTATGGTACGCACTGTCATTTTTAGAAGCACTACATGCCTAATCTTTAGTACCTATTTTTCAAAACCTTAAGATAAAGGGAAGATGCTGTTCAAGTGTCACTTTATTCCCCAACAACTGGATTTATGCTTCAGATTACCAGGCCGTTTTTTATCACATACACCAGACACACACACACATGCAGTGAGCATGTTTGAGGGAGCAAACCCTGGGTTTAGGTGTTGTTATTTGTATTATTTTCATGTTTTACTGTGAAACTGTTTCTGCTGTATTACCAATGTGCAACTGTGCCAAATTATCGTTTACAAAATGTGACAAAACTGTAGAAAGCAAATGTCTCAACTTTTCCCATGCTTAATATTAAAAACGGTTATGAACTGGTCTTCTCGTTCTCTCCCTTCACTGCACTCGCTGGCACTACGCATCGAAGCTTTCTTTAATAAAGTCACGCTGACAGCGCACCTCGAAGCTGAAGTAATTTCGTGTTTCATATTGAGCCACCCACCGTTGTCCCGTGCCCCCTCCCAGCGCCGGCTCCCCCTCTGCTCCCCGCTGGTGCCCCCGAAGCCCAGCCGAGGGGGAAGCACGCCCCGGTTCGCCCCGCCGGCAGCCCGGCAGGGGCCGCTCCGGGCCCCGCTCCCCACCGCCGCAGCCTCGGCCGAGGCGCGGAGCGTTACCAGCCGCCCGCCTCGCAACGGCCGCGGCAACGGCTGAGCCACCGCCCGCCCAAACCCCCCACGGCGAAATGGCGTCCTTGCCCCGGCCCACCGGCAGGGAGGCCCGTACCATCTCCGGGGAAAAAAGGGAGGGACGGCACGGAGATAGAGACGAGTGAGTAGTGAGCGTGGCGGGGGAACCTCGCCCTTCGCCCCGGCCCCCTGCGGTTGTTTTAGCCCTCTTTCTCATATCTGATGAAAAGTTGCCGGGGAACCGGAGAGGGCTGCGACGGCACTGGCGCACCCGCCGTTCCTCCCACCCCCAGAATAAAATGGCGCCTCCTCACGCAGGCCGCTGGGGGACTAGGCGCAGTTTTGTGGGTGCCCGCAGAGTGCGACGGCCACCGGCCAATGAGAGCGCCGCCTTACTGCGGGGTCGGGCAGGACTAACGCTGTCCCGCCAATCAGGAGCGCTGACCTTCCGCTGCCCGGCGGCGGCGGGCTCCGGGCGGCGCAGCGCGGCCGGTGCCCTGAGCCCCCGCTGCTGAGGGGGGGCTCGGAGCGCAGCCGCCCGCCCCGGCAGCGGCCAGGTCGTGTGTGGAACCGGGGGAGTGGGAGGGTGGTGGAGGAGCCGCCGGCCCTCGCTCGGCAGCGCGGCGGAGGCGAGAGGGGGCCGCAGCCCGCAACCTTCCGCTTCGCAGGTCGGTCGTCCGGGACGGGAGGGCCCGCGGGGCAGAGGCAGGCGCCGGCACGGGCAGTGCCCCCAACGCCTCGGCCACCGGCGCACTGAGCATTCTGCTTGCAAAGGAAGGATTCGTATTTCACAGTTCTGTTAAAGAGGAAGTAATCAGTAAAGTTGTGTTTGTAATAAAGTTATTAATTCAGTTGCGCCTAGCTTTATAAATAAAGGTATAATGGTGAGGAACAGACTACCTCTGTGCAATGAAATCTTAGTGAATTGCTGTACCCCGGGCCTTAGGATAAGACCGGTGGCAAACCATAGGATTATTAAGCTTTACACTTTTACAGTATAAGATGTGGTGAAGCTGTGTGCTTTCTGCCGGGGAGTTTCTTCATTGCTTGTGTTTTGTGTGCTTGTATAACTTGACTAAGGTATTAAAAGTTAGGAGGTGACAGTGCAGTCTGGTTTGTTAATCTTTCAGGGGGATTGAGGATGCAGCTGAGATGACCCTTCAGGAACTGGTGAATCAGGCAGCTAGCCTGTACTCTGATAGAAAAGCAGTTTGGTTCGATGAATGCAATGACAAACCTCCAACTTTCTACACGTATGCAACGGTGGTTAAGCTTGCCATGGAATTAACAGCTTTCCTTCAGAAGCACTGTGATCTGCAAGGAAGACATGCAGTAGGCCTCTACTGTTATCCAGGAATAAACGTACCATCTTGGATCTTAGGGTAATGGTTTGAATGCTTGCATTCTGTGTTGTTTTTCTAAGGGTCATCTCCATTAAAGCAGATTTTCAGTTTGCTTATATTTTTAATAACAACAAAAATGTAGTAATGCCATAGTAATGCAGTCAAGAAGCACTGGAGTTTTGCATTCTTTAAGAAAAAAGGTGGCAGTATTATCTTTTGAAAAGCCACTGCTGAAGTTTTATTGAATCTTATGGTCATTGATCTGAAATGTGTGTAACTACATCCATTTTTTAAAAGCATGTGATTAAGCATACTTACAGAAATATAAAAAATTAATGACTGGTATTTTTGTGTGCAATTAAAACCAGATGTGATTTAACATAATAAAATGAGTATGCAGGTTTTTTAATGTATTCTTGTCTTGCTAGCAAAAAAAAAAAGATGCATTGGAAACAAATTTCAGGCTTTAAGCTATTTGAATATACAATTAGAGTTCCATTACAAATATTGTAGAAAAGAGTAATGAGCAGTGCAGCACTAAAGTGACATTGGTTATTTAATGGCTAGGAAATTGAAACATTTGTGATCTCAACACTCATGTTAATTCAGCAATTAAAAAAAAAAATCTTTCTTCTAATGTTTGCATCCTTTATATACGTATCTTTTATATCCATTTCATTTATGATGTCATATAGAATCCCACCATCTGAAGCTTAATTTTGTCAGCTGAGTTATGCAGCAGTGGTTGTGCTTCTTGGGGGGATGATCTGTGTCAGAATTTTCCTGTTGTCACGCTGCACCTGAAATACACAATAGCACAAGAAGGTGTATCACAGTTGACTGTGAAGATTTCAGTCAGTGCGTGAGCAAGCGCCGTAATCGTAAACCTTCCAGAAGCGCTGAGGAACTTTCTCATGGGTCAGGAAACACTTTTCCCCCAGTCCAGCAGTGGAGCAGGTTGCCCAGAGATGTTGTGCGGGCACCATCCCTGGAGGTTTTCAAGACCTGACTGGGTAAAGTCCTGAACAACCAGGCCTGGTGTCACAGCTGCCCCTCCTTGAGCAGGAGGTTGGATGAGGCATCCTGGGGTCCCTTCCAACCTGATTTATCCAGTCTCCCAATGAACTGAGCAGCAAAACAGTTTTCTTCCGCTGTGTGACTGGGAACTACGGAGGCCTTTTGATTCTTGACAGCTGTCCCTGCTGCGTAGTTCTCTGTACATTGCAGGGCAGGCCGAGGACCTTGCTGATACCAGTGGCTGTTTGAGAATGCAGTGGTCTCCAAGCCTTCGTTCTGGATCTTGTCGTTACTGCAGTGATAAATCACTTGCAAAAAGAGGAAATAAATAATAGTACGTGGGAACCCAGCCTTGGGAGAAATGTGAAGATTTATGGGAACAGTTCTTATTTTAGCCGCCGCTTACTGACCTTGGCTTTTTGTGGCGTTAGTAAATTCAAGCGCTTGTCTTTATCAAGCAGAGCCACTAGAGGGGGGGATTGTAGCGAGCAACTGTCGAGGAAGCACTACAGCGTAAAGCAGGGTGAATGAGAGCAGAATGGTACTTAAGTGTTCCTCTGCTTGTTAAGGAAGAAGTTCCAGTACCTGCTCAGCTTTTCTTATACTGGATTCTTTAGGCTAGTGAGAACAGGAAATGTTTTCAGTGTGCAGACTTTAGATATTTTATTTTTTGTTAGCATGTTTATACATGTTGTATATGTGTAAATCAAAAGTTTGTATTTCTGTTCCTAGACAATAGCAGAAGCTTTTAAAATGTGGTGCTGTTGATGTCTGTGATACCTTTGTCATCACCAACCTGTTTGGCCAGAAATAATGTTGAATGTTTTCATGTAGTTTTAATGTTGTTCTTGCTGTAAAATACCAAAAGGCAATGCTGATTATTCTTCCTACTTTATTTCCAACAAAATATGTAAAAGTCATGTTATGACTACGTTTTCTAGCTCTGGGATCTCTAAAAGTATGAAACATCAGTGAAATTTAAGAAGATGTTGTCAATTTTTAAAAAATAAGTTTAAAACATTTGTGTCCTGTTAGAATCCTTCAAGTTCCAGCTGCCTATTCTCCTATTGATCCAGATGCACCACCAATGTTATCCACTTACTTCATGAAGAAAAGCAATCTTCAGTATATTCTTGTTGAGAATGACAAAATAAATGTAAGTGTTCAGGCTTCCACAGGAAGCATTAAAGGGCAGTTTAGAAATGTGTAGCTGTTCAAATTGTATGCTGTTTTACTAAGCTTGGATGGACTTGTTCTGTTTCATCATGTCAAGAGGTTGCCTTTCTCATTCAGAAAATAACATCTTTAAAATTGGAAGTACAAAGTGGTGCTTTTCCTCTTAAAAAAAATTACCTGCTTTCCTGTTGTGGTGTCCAGGCAGGCTTGTTGGGCACTGGTGTTGGAAGGCTTTTCCAGACCTGTGTCTCTGCATGTCAAGGTAGAGAGTTGGAAATCTTTGCAATAGTTATAAAAACTCCTGAATTTAATTATTTGGTTTCTTTTTGTCCATCTCCTCCCAAATCTTATACCCTCGCTCATTGCAAAGGGTACAGACAAGATTGGACCATCTAGTTATATATAATTCAGAGTTCTTTCTTTACTGCAGAATTCTTTTGTATGTTTTCCCTTTTCATTAGTTGCTCGAGAATTAGTTATTTTGCACGTATAAGGTATGTGTTTACTCATATTTAATATATAAAAATACATGAGTTTAAAACTGTCTGATGTGTGTCCTCCAAAAGTAGAGGCATGAAAAATCACAGCTTACTTGTATGAAATGCTGTTTCATATTTCATTGCATAGAATATAACATTAACCATGTGTCCTGAGTTCTGCTGTTTAAATTGTTTATTTTCTCTTACAGAAATTCCAAATGTCCCATGTAGATTATTTTTACCACAGTTCTTCAACAATAGAGCATATTGGTTTAACTCTCTTCCAAGTGAGCTCAAGCAACACTGATTTAAATTCAGAAGTAGATGTGGAAAGTAAATATGAGCCTTTCAAAGCTATGGGTGACGTGCAGCCAGGATATACTGTTTGCCCAGATCAAACCAAAGAAAAAACATCAGAAGGAAGATACATGGACGTTGGCCAGAAATATTCTTTAGCATACATCTTACATACATCAGGAACTACAGGGATCCCCAAAATAGTCAGAGTACCTCATAAATGTATAGTGCCAAATATTCAGCATCTTAAGTAAGTGTGGCTTCCAGTTTTCCTTTCAAATGCTTTTGCAAATTTGATATTTAGGGACTTTTTTTTTTTTTTTATACTTCAGAGGAGTGTGGATTGGGCTTTTGCTAGCACTGCTTCACATATTCTTCCTTTCCTGCCTTTTCAGCTTTATTTTTGTTTGTTTCTTTCGTTTCTAAATAGTACCATATAAAATTTTGTTTCTCTAACTGTTATTTTTAATGTTTAAATGTTGCTTTACCTGAGTTTTTGTGGGATGTACTTCAGGTAATATGCTGTTGCTGTAAGTATTGTATTCTGGCTTGTGGCTTAAAAGAACTAGATAGCAAAATTAATTATTTGTTCACAGTTGTATTTACGGTATTCTTAGTTTTTAAGTCCTAATCCCTTTTAAGGCTATCTAGGTTTCTTTCTGCTTCATTTAATGCCTTCTAAAAAAAAAAAAAAACTTACAGAAAATACCATCTTTTCTTCTTTTTCCTTTTCCTTTTTTTTTTTTTTTTTTTTAAATTAGTTGAAATATGCCCTTTAATGTACTGTATGGGTATGTAATGTGGTGGATATCTTTGTAAAGGATCTCATTAGTGTAATTAATAGTTACAGTCTTGATGCAGGAGCTCTTGCCCAGATTGTTTGGCCCGCATATGCGGAGCAGCCCTTAACTTTGCTAAAGCGCATTTCTTTCACGCGGCTTTTCTAGTTTGGAAATGGTTTGTAACATGTATCAGATTTGTAATCCTAGCTTTCTTATTTTAGATCCATATTTGAGATCACACGGGATGATATGCTCTTCCTGGCTTCTCCTCTAACATTTGACCCATCTGTGGTTGAATTGTTCGTTGCTCTGACAAGTGGAGCCTCTATTCTTGTAGTACCAAACGCTATTAAAATGATGCCTGTGGAGCTGTCTGCCGCGCTGTTTCACCGTCACCATGTGACAGTGCTGCAGGTAGGCAGCACCTAAGATAAGTGTCTTCAGTGTCTTGCTTCTCACCTTTGCTAATGTGTACTACTCGTTCATCAATCTAGATGCTAATGATAATAATAGGAGTGTTCTTCCTTGGAGGCATAGCTCATGCGATCTTATTAGCTGTACAGAAAATTACCATTTGATTCAAGCTTTGGACATTTTGTGATGGAAAACAATGAACTAAAGATAAAACCAACATTCATCTTCAGATACCATTAATTCTTAAGAATTAATTAAATTGTGTTAATTAAGCAGTTAGTTCCAAAGAATTTGGTAGTGGAGTAACCTGTTACAGACATTTGTAGCACTTGTTAATGGGCTTGATCTTAGAACCTTTCCTTATAAACAACTTTTAAGTTTTAATGGTAGTCTCTGTGCTAAAAATACAGCAATTAAACCAGTGCCATTTATAGGGTGATAAAATGTTTGTCATTTCTACAATGATGAGAGCAAGAGAATAGTTGATTCCACAGCAACATTTAACTGTGTTCGGGCCACCTGTTTATATGAGGCTTCATGTGCCCCTTATGTCTTGGAATAGATCATCTCCTATGTGATCTCAATTTTTTTCATAGTTTTAAAATTCATTTTTCAAAAATTTACTTGAAGTTATGAGCATCCAGCATGGCTGAATAAGCCTAGCCCTTGTCTTGTAGTGTAACTAGGTGTTTTGTGAAACTATTGATGGAGTATAGAAACTTAAATCAGGGTGTGGAGGGAAGAGGTGCTAGAAATGGATCTCACTTGTCATCAGCCAACTTTGAACAAAACAAGTATGATCTATTACTTGTGATATATCAATCCCTAGGCCTTGCTTTGTCATTAATGTATTTCTGAAGTATTTGCACTCATAGAAATGCTGAGATTTCCTTTTCTTTTGAAGGAGTAATGGTAGTAGAGATTGTAGGTTATAAGTTTAAGATTAGTGAGTAGTTAGCTGAAAATTCTATGGCAGAAAACTGCCACTAGTTACAAATATTTTGTAACTTTATTCTCTGCTTTTATTTATTAAGATTGCTGTAAATCTCCATGGTGTAGATTTGCCTATCGTATACAAGTTTTTTGATCAGTTTAGCTCACTTGCTTTTAGAAAAAAGTTTCAGTGATATTAAGCTCTATTAAAAAGATTTTTAAAGTATGTTTTTTAAGGCTTTTTAAGATACATATTTTAAAGTATGTTAAGCATTAATAGAGAAAGGCAGAATTTGGTGAATGAAGGTACTTGAGATACCTTTCTAAGAAAAGTTTGGGTTTTTTGATTTTTTGATCGTTGTCATAATCAGTGAAGGAAGGGCTTCTCAGCTGAATCAATGACAAAAATGATCTCCTTATAGCATAACTGATGATGAATAATTTTATGATGTTTCTTAAATTACAGCAAGACATTACCTTCCCCTCTTGATTTGCTTAAGTGAACTTGAGAAATCTGAAAAGTGATTATGAGGGAGGGGAGGAATAACTTTTTCCCCGCTCTTTTTTCTTCACTATAATTCAGTAAAGTTAAAATGATCAGTTGAAAAGTGATGGTCTTCATCTATTACTAGAAGAAAATAACCTGGGAAAAATAATTCCGTTAATTTTCCACTCCTGTTACTAGAAAAAGTGGGCAAGAATGAGAGTGAAGTGTGTCTGTTAAAATGATTTGCTGTTTTTACCCTTCAGTGAAAGGGCTCTACATCACCAGTAATTTTATAGTAGTAGTGGAATTTTGAATTTAAGGAAGCACTTCTTTTTTTTTTTTTTCTCTTTCTCCTTTTTTTTCCTTTTCCTCCTGGTCATTTTAGAGTATTATGTGAAAGCTTTCAGAAAAAATAATCTTTGTAGACTGTTATATTTACACAAATCAGAAACAACACAAAACCTGGCATCATAGGAATTTTTAGTGTTATGGAAGGTTCTTTAAATGTTCTATATGCAGGTTAATCAGATGTATAGGTTGTATTTGTGCTGGAATGTGCTGGAATGAAGGGGAAAATCTCAAACAGTAACATCAAGAGAATACTGTAATACTGTGTTTGCTGCTTTCTGATTGAAAGTAATTAACATAAGAAATAATGTGTACGTACTTTATGTAATAGCTGAGACACTACAGGGAACCCATAACGTATTATCTAAGTAAAGAAGAAACTCTGCAAAGGGACATAGGTTGGCATGATAGTACTCATTAAAGGCTTCATGTAAGAAACAAAATCTCACAAAACACTGGTGTGATCTATACTGGTATCTGATATTTGATGCTCTACATAGGTGATTGTTAAGTACATCCACAATACAGTAGCTATACAGTGCATATGATAAAGCAGAAAGATGTGTATACATATATTGAAGAAATATAACGGGTCTTTCTTTTTTTTTTTTTTTTTTTTAATTATATGTATCATTCAGGCAACACCAACACTTCTCAGAAGGTTTGGAGCTCACATTATTAAATCAACAGTGTTGTCTGCAAATACTTCACTTCGTGTCTTAGCCCTTGGTGGAGAAGCATTTCCCATACTGAATGTCTTGAAAAGTTGGAAGCACAAGGAGAACAAAACAAGTATTTTTAATCTTTATGGTATTACTGAAGTGTCAAGCTGGGCCACTTGCTACAAGATCCCTGAAGAGGTTTTTAGTGCTGATTTTAGGTAGGAAAAATCACTGGTTTTATGGCTTGGCATGTGAATGATGAAAATCACTGGAAATACAACCTTGATCTCCTGTTTCCAGTGCTACTGCAGCCTCATGAGTGTTTATGCTGGTAGAAGTTACATTTGGGTTTTATGTAGAAATAGATTAATCCCTTCTCTCTTGCTCTAATACAGCCCCCTCAAGTGACAGCAGTTGATGAATTATTCTTGAACAGCAGAGCTGCAGTCTGAATTTCTGTGTACTTGTAGATCTGTTAAGTTTCACATAGTGTGTCGTGGTGGTCTCTGTTTTAGTCACCTCTGTATCTAGGCCTCTTCCTCATTCCACCCTGGGATTCCACATGCTGAACCTGGACTAGCCTAGTCCGGGGTGTGCTGTCACTGACTGGGTGGCAGTACTGAACCAGTGTTGCACTTCTGCAGGCAAGTGGCTCCTACCCAATTTGCTAGTAACTTCAGTTAGCCATACTCTCGCTCCTCATGAGGCTTTTCCAGTGAGATCTTCCACGTTCAAAGAAACCTAACACAGCTGTGAGTGAGAGTAAAGAAATGAGGCTCTGTAACTTAATCATAGTCTTGGAACAAAGATACACTCATCGCTTAGCTCTGTCAAGTTCAGAATGTTACTTGTGAGATTTACTTATTTTAAGCAAAAATGTTCAAAGATTACTTTCAGATATAATCAGTACATATACCTGTGTTTCATAATGTTACCATGCATTTGCCTACGCTTTTTAAAACTCCACAAATAATTGATCAAGTAGAGACTAGGTACGGGCTTTTTTCTAATATTGGATAATATACTATTCAGGAAATTATCCCACTGATATTATTTGACTTGTATGGATGTCAGAAATTTGTCTGAAGTGGCTCACCTGAGTCTCATAGTAATTTTACTTGGACTTCCAGAAGTACATTCTTTTCATTATTTAGCACTCTTCCATTTTTCACTCAATTTCTGTCTTTTTTTTTTGTTGTTCATTATGTTTTATAAAGAAGAGTTGCAGGAGCGTCAAGGTCATGAAAGGCACTTCCAGTTTGCTCCGTGTTTCAGTTGCTTTCTGAAATGTGTAATTACTCCCTGGCATGATAATTATACATGTGACTTGAGTGAGACGTGCCCTGTGAAATGGGGTGTTTTGGACAAATGATTCAATGGATTAACCTGGTACTGATACCCTTGAACACTGAAAATGGTGGATGGTCATGAAGTGTTACTAAATTCTGATGCAAAACTGATTTTCATTCTGGTTTCTCTGAGTTCAAACATTATCTTCTCAGTGAAACTGCTTTTCTATGCAAAGCTTCTGTGCTCCAGAGATAACATGTTGTTCTTCAGTCCTAACTGAGGTGCTGGTAGGATGATGAAAGTTTTTGTAGTCTCTGACTGTAGTCTCCCACCCTTCACCTCAGAGCCTGTTCCCTCTAAGCATCATTGCAAAGGGAATTAGGGTTGCCTTACAGTAAGCAGCTCCAGATACAAGAAAACCAGGACAGACCATTTTGTCTTCTTTGTTTCTTAGTATTGGTAAGATAGTTGGAGTACAGTAGGCTTTTATTTTTTCTAGCTGAATGATGAAATCTGGCATTGTTTCTAGAGAACGCTAGAAAATGAAACAAAAAAAAAATCACAAAGTTAGTGCCTTAGTGGTCTGCACCCTTCTGTTTTTTAGGTAAGTTTGGCAAAATTAAATGTCTAATCCCAAGTCTCTTAATAATAATGACCAAATGATGTGATTGTATTTTATTTTTGCTGTTCCATAGTATGAGGCAGACACATTAAATGTCTGGGATGGTTTCTTATGCCTATTTGTCGAGTAATTATATTTTGAACCCAGCCAGAGAAAGGAAAGGCAGAGAGATTCTCACTTGGCTGAAATACCCATTTTACAAAAATTGACTGCGTTTTGATCAACTTGAGATAAAGAATTCATTGACTGATCAGAGAAAAGGAGACATTTCAACAGCCTAAATAACAGGAATTGAACAAGAACTGTTAGGTTCAAATATGATATTTTATGATTGAAATTGAACTGGAACCCTTGCCTAACTTCCTGTATTACCAAAGTTATTTAGCGTTACTTTGTGTTTTAAATTTTGCTTTACTGAAGAAAACATATTATTCTCTACTCCAACTCAGAAATAGTATCTATAGTCAATAAATGAGGTTCTACAAGTGCTTGAAGAGGCTAGAGAATGAAGGGAAAGGAAGGAGTTGATCTGCAGCTCAACAGAAGTGTATAATATATATACATGACATTGAATTTACAGTTTCTTTTATTTCAGTCTTTTCTGAAAGAGTCAACTGTACTTGTCACAACATCAGTAACAGAAAAGAATAAAACCTCAAACTAAGTAGGACAGGGAAAGAATTAATTAGAAAGCACTTGTGTGTTTAAATTGGTTGACTTGGTGAAATTTTCAACCTGGGAGACTGAAAAACTGGCTGAAACTCTTCAACTTCTCTCAGCGTATTTCAGGGTCCATTCAAGCCTTATAGTTTATCATTGTGGTTTTTGGTATATGATAATGAAACCCATGCACATTGATGAAGTTTTTAATTTTTAACAAATTGAGATGTTTTTAAAGAGGAAACATTCGTAGAAAGAAGCCCCAAGCATCTGCTTTTGCTCTCATCCCAGTCCTTTAATGAACTGTATGCTAACTCATTTCTGGAACATTTGTTTTTTGTTCAGAAGGGAAAGATTTTTACTGTTTCTCTCTTTAATATATTTAGAACGGATTTCCCTATACCTTTGGGATCACCTCTCCTTGGAACAAAAGTTGAGGTCAGAGGTACCAACGGTTCTGCAGTTCTAGAAGGCGAGGGACAAATATTTATAGGTTCTTTCATATTTCTTATTCTTCTAATATACTTTGCTTAATTGATTGAGTTTTAATAATACATTTAGTATTTAATTGGTGTCTGCCTCTGATACGTAGCGTTATATAGCATTTTAAGTTCCCAGTGGGCCGGGAACCTTCTCATGGTATTTTAGTTTGCTGGAACGATGAACAGGAACTTACCATTGTTTTATCTGCAGACTGTGTTTTCATTATATTGACTTCTTTTCCTGCTTGCATTTTGACATTCTCAGTTGAAGTAATTTCAGTATATTAACTGGATTAACTGCATATCCCAATTTGTACATTACAGAAGTGTAGACATTGATAACAGTCTTTTATTACTTCTTATAATGCTTTTTAGAGTTTAGGATAATTTGATAAATTACTCTTTATAATTTTTATTTATAGTTAGCCATTTCATATATATGACCACAATCTTTTCTTGTGTAGGTGGTGAAGAACGAATCTGCTTTCTTGATGATGAAATAATTGTACCCTTGGGCACAATGAGAGAAACAGGGGATTTTGTAAGAGTGCAGAATGCAAAGTTGTTGTTCTTGGGTCGGAAAGACAATCAGGTTAAACGTCACGGCAAGCGCTTTAATATTGAATGTTTGCAGCAGGTAATATAACATCTAGGGAGTAAAGTATGCCAGTGTAAAAGAGCAGGGATAAGGAACACATCATTATCATCAGAAATTGGTATTTACTCATTTTCAGATTACTTTTAGGGGTCTAAAAGAAATTTGGAGGGTGTATTATCAATTACTTAGTCACATAATTTAGGGAGGACTTTGGTTCTGAGTTCCTGGAAATCTGTTTTATTGCATAGTTTCTTTCAGCAGAATTGAGAACTGTATAAACACCTGAAAAATACTGAGCATTGCACTGTGATGCTTGAATAGTGATTGTTCTACAAGGCTGAATGTCAGACTGATGGATTATATCTCATTCATAGCATTTAGACAAATAATACATACATCTCTGAGTTCATTTATGTGAAGAAGTAAAAACTTCAGCTACAAGAGAAGCTGTTTTATAGGATGTTATGTAGGAGTGTAAGACATACAATTTTTAAATGCGTACTTTTTTTAATTGTGGTTTTTACTCCTTTTACTCTGTTGACGAACTGTATTTCAAAGAAAGACTAGTGTTTTTTAATTACAGGCTACTGAAGATCTTTGTCAGGTAGAAGCTTGTGCAGTGACCTGGTATCAGCAGGAAAAACTTATCCTGTTTGTTGTACCCAAAGATGATTTAGAAGAGAGAGAAACACTTAAAGAACTCCAGAAACGTCTGCCAGCTTATGCAATGCCTGATGAGATCGTACTGATTAAAGCTTTACCTTTAACATCACATGGTAAATGAAACTATGAAGTACCCTTGCCACTTCTTTTAATGGTCTGTAATCTTTTTTTTTTTTTTTTTAATTGACCAAAATATGGTACCTGATTCATGCTTTTTAAATTTGTAGATTAGATAACTCCTAGGAGGAAATCATGACCACGTATTATGTTTTCTTCATAATGTTTCATTTGAGAGTCAAAGAGTAGTGGTAAAACCAATTTAGTTTTAACACTGCACATTTATTTTCTCGGTCATTCCTGTTGCAGTCTGCAATAGAACCTTGACTTCAATTGGGGAAAGATCAAGCCTTGCAGGTGGGATTATGTGGGAGGCTAGGGTGAATTTTCAAAAACCTGACTGGGTTCTCTGTAGCTGATTGACTGGGTAAAAAAGATAAAGTGCAGTTGAGTATGAATAAGGAAGTTTGTGCAAGAATAAAGTGACTGTTTGGGCAGAGCAAGTTTTGGAACTGTAAATGCTAAAAGAGCAATGAAAAAAGTTGTACTTTATTTTCTACAAAGGCAAAGTTGATATATCTGAACTGAACAAGATTTACCAGAACCATCTAAACTCCAGAAGGCGTGACAGTAAGCTGAGTGGCGCAGAGGAATTGTGGGAAAGATTGCAGTATTTATGGAAGGTAGTATTTTGAGCAGCCTTTTTATCTTTGCAAGTGGATCATTATACATGTGTCAGGAATTAAACAGTTTTAAGAAGTATGACTAATGCAACCAGAATGTTTGAGCTGCCTATAGATTTAAGCAGTACAACTCTTTTTGTTCAGCTAATACTTAAATATAGTCACGCTGCAGTGGCCAAGAGGGAGTCATTTCTATTTCTCTATCAGCTAAAACTGCAGGCTATGAGTTATAAGCAATTAGCATAGGAAGGACGTAACCTGTCAGTAGCTTTTTGAAGACTGCTTCACATGCCAGAGAAGGCATCCCTAAGAGAAACAAGGAACTGGGACATGGGAACTTTGTACAAAATAGCTACTGTGTTAGTAGAGTTTATTATTTCTCAAGATAGTTATGAATTGAAGAGGTTTTTTTAAATAGAAGGTGCAGTTATGTAATTGTCTGTCTGTATTGTTTCTAAATTTCTGTGCTAATGAATTGTTTTTCAAGGTATTGAAATGTGATGCCAAACAGAATTACTGGGGTTTTTTTGGTCAAAGGTAGACTTTCAAATTTCACCTGAAAGTGGGGTTTGCTGTGTCTGGGACTCAAGCAAGTAAATGTAGTGAAATCAGTAACACACTTTGCCTGTGCTGACACTTCCCACATTGGCGGCTATAGCAATGATAACCCAAAGGGATGGGATGTGCCCGAGGCCCATTAGACAGCAGAAGGCAGATTCCAAAACTGGAGGATTTGGACTTCACACCCACATTTAACAAGCAGGGAGTGTGGTGAGAGGACACACAGTAATTGCTGTTTGTTGCCAACAGTGCCAAATCCAAAATTCATCCTGAATTGAGGGGATTATAGCTTCAAAAGTAGGTAGATAAGTAGGTTACTTAAATAATTCAGAAGTAAAATACACCAATTTATATAAGTTTTATTAATAAAATAAATCACCTAGTCCAATTTTATCAAAAGGTATCAGTGTTTAATCTGTCAAGTTGTCATTGATAAATGATGTTGAGATTGAAAATGGTCAGCAGAAATACAGCACAAATTTGCTTAGATTCCTTAGACTGCAGAAGTGGAATTGAACAAAACATTTTGTGGTACAGAACTAGTATCTCCCTGTTTCCCCATTCCTCCTCAACTTTTGTTCCATCACTACCTCTCTTTGCCCTAACATGTGGCATATGACTTTTTGCAGTGTAGCGCGCTTCCCCAGTTGTTGATTTTTTTAGTGGGACTTGTGGGTATTCGGGCAGATTTTACCCAACTTGAGTTTTTATGCATGTGACATGGTGTAACACCCATGGACTGTTACCTCTTTCCTTTTTCTTTTCTCTAGTCTGTTCTGGGTGTCCTAGGTGATTCCACTGGAATTTCTAAAGATGCAGTATTTCTGTACAGTGGTGGAGACTCCTTAAAGGCTCTACGATTTTATGATGAAATTGAGATGCTGGTAGGCAAAGCTGTGCCTGGACTCCTAGAAGTTATTCTCAGCCGGCCAATTGAAGAGGTTTATAGACATATTCTTAAAATTCTATTTCCAGATGAAGACAAATTAATGAATTATGACAATGTGAAAAGAAAATTAAGTGGGAACGGTGGAGAGGAATTCCATGGAAAATATATTAAACTGAAATCTGAACGAGGTCTTGAGGTTGCTCCAGGGTTCATTTCATTTCTTGCACTAAGCAGAGGAAATCATTTTTTTTCTATGAATTTCACCAAGTCTTTTATGCAACCCAATAATACAGTACAGGTAGGAGCGGAACTGCTACAGCAACCATCTTTTCTGAATTTCGTGGCTCCAAGTATAATGAAAAGCCATCTGCAAGGGTGTGAAACGGAGAACGGAATTTTAACAGTTACAAACAAGGCAAATAAAACCAACTGTTGCTCTGTACAGCAGATCCATGCAGAATGTAGTCATGTAACAACGGCAGAGTTGGCATTATGCGTAAGATGGAAGTCAAATACAAGAAAATGTGTCGATGCTTCACCACTGGTTATAATACCATCTAAAGAAGAAGTATCTGCATCTGTATATGTTGGCTCTCACTCTCATGTCATGCAGGCGATTGATCTAGATTTGGGGGAAATAAAATGGGAGAAGAACCTTGGAGATCGTATTGAATCTTCTGCCTGCCTATCTAAGTGTGGAAATTTCATTGTTGTTGGTATGTCTTTTGTTTAGCCATCATTTTAAATGATTTTTTTTCTGCTAAATACAAGATGAATGCCAGAGAGTCTTATTTCTTACCTCTGAATGTCCTCCATTTGCATCCTTATCCATAAACTTCCGTATCTGCTTCCAAACTCATTTATTGTAAATTAGAAACAGAAAGAAGAAGTAATTTAAGTTTCACGATAACCAGTGATGGAGCTTATCTAACATACACGCTTGTGGTTTATTCTATGCCAGTTTAATAAGGCCTTATTAAGGAATAGTCAATGGGGGGTACAGTGGCTGATTAAGGTGTGACCTTTATACTGTTTTGGGGGAGTTTCTGTTTCTTTTTGTTTGTTGTTTTTTTAAAGTTTGGAAAGGTGATACAGTCTTAAAATGTCTTTAAAAATTGATAGAGGTAGAAATTAGTACATGGTGCCTCAGATTATTTTTCTGAGTTTAATTATCTCTTTTGACTCTTCTTTTTGGAAACGTAAGGAACATGTTTGGGTAGTTTTTTGTTTGGCATATCCATTGTCAGCAGGGTTGCTGTTATTTATCTTAGTGTTATCTTTTTAGCTAATATGTATACATCAGTGGTTAGCACAGATGTCCAGGTGGTGAGGTTTTTTTATGCAGAGCTAATGTTAACCATCTTTTTGCTAGTATTTTGATTGCTATTTACTCTGATAACAAAATCAAATGTTTCATTAAAACTGAAGGAGTTTCTAGAACTACAGTTCAGTTTTCATTAGAAAACATACAAACTTTATTCTTTCAGCATCTTTGTTTACAGAAAGGAAAAGTAGGGAGAGAGATAACATAAAAAAACATTCTTATGCTCCATTTTCAGCAACTTTCCATGTCTTCTAAAATTATTACTGTAAAATCTGATAGAAAGGCAGTGAAATAAGTATATTCTAAATGTAACCTGGAAAGAACACACAGAACAATCAATTTTGAATGTATAAACTATCAGCAAAGACTTTGAGCTAAAAGAAGAGGAGGAGCTTTGGAAAGTGTTTTGAAACAGTACCTCGTGAGTCATCTTACTTCTTTCCAGCAGTGATGCAGCTAACAGCATAAATCACACCGTAAATACAAATAATCTTTTTTTTTTTTTTTCCCCTGCTGTGTTTTATTTCACACAGGTTGCTATGACGGCTTAGTGTATGTGCTTCAAAGCAGTGATGGAGAAATACATTGGACTTTTGTCACTGAAGATACTGTGAAAAGCTCTGCAGCTGTAGACCCTTCCAGTGGCCTAGTCTACATAGGCTCCCATGACCAACACGTGTATGCTTTGGATATTTATGTAAGAATACTGACTAACTTTTATGTATAGAAGAATAAGTATCTTAGACCCTATCTGTAGTACACCAGATGAAGCTCCACTGGTGTTAGTATTCTCAGGAGTCCACAATTACACTTCTGAAATAGTCAGACCTTCTTGAAGTGGGGTTAGGATTGGGTCGTAGTAAATGGTTTTAGTGGTGTTCTCAGCTGTGGTTCTTATGCTCCTAGTCGTGGTTGAAACCAAATCTTAAATTTCATAGTTTTTAAATTCTCTGCAGAAGTTTCAGAATAGGGTGCCCAGCTGGAAACAAAACTCTGGCTTAATGGTGCAGAGAGAATCTTGCATTCTAAAAAGAGTAGATGAAGGGAGATGGAAAATAAGAGGGGTAGATACTGCCTCTTCGGTAGCTGGATTTCTTTTATTTACTGGAAGAGAAAGTAGCCAATGGCATACGTGTTGCTATAATAGCATGTAGATTATATCTGCACTTAATTATTATTTGCTGAGTAAATGCAGTGTTTTGTAAGCTTTGACATTCAAATGACTTTGTAAACATGATGAGCTTTAAATCCCAGTTGAAAATTTTATTTATCTTTTTTCTTGTGCTTACAGAAAAAGGCGTGTATATGGAAGTTACATTGCGAAGGTGGAGCTGTGTTTTCATCTCCTTGTTTAAGTTCTTTTCCACATCATCTTTATGTTGCTACACTAGGAGGACTGTTACTGGCTGTGAACCCAGTATGTACCTTTGCTTACTTGTCTTTGATCCCAGTCTCAAACTGAAACGAAACCAAAATGCATTTCTGAAGTTAAGATCACTTTTCTGATGAAAGGAACTAGATGATCATATGTTACCATAAGATATTTTTCACTCGAGGGCCTTATCATTATACACAAGGTTACCATAATAATTCCTGTATTTCAGAAAGCTGTCTGGTAATAAAGAGAACTGAGGTGACTTGCTTGAATTTACGTGCTGACTGTAGGCCAAACTTGGAATCAGTGTCTTCTCATTCCATATGCTACCTTATCGGTTAAGTTAGTGAGTGAGAGCATGTCTGTAGACTTTTTATTTTTTTTTTTTTCCCTCCCTCCCTTTGACAGAAGGACTAAGAAAAAAAATACACAGACCTTAATGACATCAGAACAGAATAAAGAAAGAAAGCCCTTCATTCCTCTTACCGTTTCCCTCCCCGTAGTTATTTAAAGAACTGTTCCCCTTAATTTCAGCCTGTTATTCTGTTCTCTGCACTGGGGAAATGGCATTCTTGGTAGATGTGGAGCAGTTTCTTGGTTTTCAGAGGCATTTTTGGCTTGCAGCTGGTCCTGCCTGGTAAAAGGAAGAGTCACTTGGAGCAGCTGTTGATGTTTCTGTGCTCAGGCAACCCAGAGTATCAGTCCTAACCATCTCCACCTCCCACCCACTACAAGTTCCCTCAGTAATACATGACCTAGTGTTAGGAAACCAGTGTATGTTTTTGCAGCTCTAGTAAGCTGTGGCTAAGAAAAACCAGATTTATTTTTTTTCTCCCTGTAATCCTGACTAACAGGTAGTTGAGAAACCCAGCTGTAACTCCAAGTGTTTATTTATATAAACAGGAATGTGCAGGCTATGTTAGGAGTTTATTGTGACAATCATAGATTGTGGGTTGCAGCATTTCCTACAGTATTTATAGTTTATTATATAATCAAAATGACTTGCTTTCAAGATATTCTCTCTCATTGGTCCTTGTCACATACAGAGGAACTGAGAATGGAATAAAAAGTTAATCTGTCATTTATTAGAACTACTACTACTACTACGCCATTATCACTATTATTTTGCCTAGGGGGAGGAAGAGAAGGGTGAAACAGGGGTATTGCATATCCCAAAGAAAACATTAAACATTTTGTTAGAATAAGATTTGAAGAGTAGTTTTGCTTCTGGTATGCGTTCTGGATGGGAGAAGCTTGCTTTTCTTTGCCTTTTTTTACCCCCCAATTCTTGAGGGCTAGGACAAGCTATGAAGGAAGGGTTGTTCTGTTCAGCTTCTTACAGCTGTGTTAAGCATCAGATATTCCATGCTGCCATTTACAGGTGATAGGAAATAAGATTTGGAGAAGCTTCTTGGGAAAACCACTCTTCTCCTCTCCTCACTGCAATGAGAAGTACGTTTGTGTTGGGTGTGTGGATGGAAACTTATATTGTTACACTCATTCTGGAGAAAAGGTAATTGTTGGGTTTTTTATGTTCATCAAAAAACCCTGAGGAAGATGCTTTATTAACACTGTTTTCTGCAGTTTAATGATTGGCATGTACCTTTTTGTGAACCAAATAGAAGTGTCTGTTGTTACAGATAAGAGAAAGTAGAAAAACTGTTCGCCTAGGGTAGTCCATGCAGTTCAGGGCAAAAGTGCAACCTCACGTTGCTTGATGCAGCAACAGAATTTTTAGTTCAGAGTTTACACCCAAAGTAAATGATCAAGACTAATGCCAAAAAATGAAATAGTAGGGTTATGGAGTTTTTCAAGCATGTTTAAAGCCCTCTCTTCTGTAAGATGGTGGCTGTTTGGAAGTAAAGGTTTCTTAGAATGTGCACGCATTTATCAAAAAATGCCAAATCATAATTCTGGCAAAATATGTGCCAGCCTTCACATTGAATTAAATGAGATTATTTTTTTAGTTCCTCAGAGATGAGTGTGGTTTGTACCTGGTGTTACACAAAACCAGTGTCAGTTGTTTTATCTGCCTGAGATGCAGTATACATGGGAATTCCTAAACCTTTTCTGGTTATAAAGTATGTGTTAGCCCATGCCCTTCTCTCCGTCTGCTTGCAGCAGTGTTGCAGAACTGATGTAGTCTCTTGAGGAGAGATCTGCACAACATTAGCATAAGCAGAGGAAATCTGTATTACAAAAGGAGTGTTTGCATTTTTGGCAAAGAATGGCATGTTAAAAGAATTCTTTAAGTTAATTACTAATTGTGGTACAAGAGTATTCTTTTCCCAAGTTGACCGTCTTTACATGAGCCTCACAGAAGGCAGTAACTCTTGCACATCTATTTTATGAGTCTTTTATCACTTACTCTGTGTCTAAAACCTAACTTGTAATTTGGCAAGTATTTACCAGCCCTCACTGAAATCTAGTATCCTCTTGAAATAAAATGCTCTCCTGCCAACTAGTCTATTAAAAAATTACGGTTGATGTCAAACTGATAACGTGAACAACCTTTGATAATGGGTGGTTATGTTCTTTCTGCAGGTTTGGCAGTTTTCCACTAATGGACCAGTGTTTTCATCTCCATGCATCTCAAGTTTAACTAAGCAAGCAATATTTTTTGGCTCCCATGATTGCTTTATCTACTGTTGTGACATGGAGGGTAATTTACTGTGGAAATTTGAAGCCACTTCAAGTGTATATGGAACACCATTTGTTTTCCAAAGTGATGACTTGAACAGAATTCTTCTGGCAGCAGTATCTACAGATGGCAAAGTGTGGATCCTGAATGCCAAGAGTGGAACAGCAGCAGGAGTAGATAAGCTTCCAGGAGAGGTTTTCTCTTCCCCTGTAGTGTGGGGAACAAAGCTTGTTGTTGGTTGTAGAAATGATTATGTTTATTGCCTAGATTTGTTTATAACTGGGAAAAAGGACAGCTAAGATGTTAGGCTGCTTCCATTTTATTGTTTACATTTTAAGAACTCACAGGCGTTCTTTACCTCCGCCTACTTTACTGCAGGCAGGAAGTGCACTTGGCAGACTTCTCGGGTAGCATTTTGCACCAAGCAGTGTCCAGAATAGGTAAAGGGATACTTGTTGACTTGCTGTACTGACTGATTGAAGGAGGATGACTGCCCAGCACCCAGCAAGTTTCACTGTCCCTCCCTCATTTCCCAGCTCCAGTTCCTGAAAGAACGTTTCACATGCTTTGGATTTGAATGTTGTGCTTTGACCTGTGTAGTAAGAAAATGCAAGTGGGTAGTTTGGCTTCAAACACTTGCAGGGTTGGGAGAAACCGTGGTAAAGTGCCGTACTCTGAAGCTTGGCATAACATCCTTGTGTCCCTGAGGGAGGAATGTGTTCCTCCGAGTCCAGCCTAGCCTGTCCCTGGCTCTTCCATGCATCAGACTGGTGTTTGTCTAGTCTGACAAGGCTTCTGTGCTGTGGCAAGGTAACCTAAGTCCTTTTATGAATCTAACTTTTGACCTGATTTCTGAAGACAGAGCCTGCATTGCATGTACCTGTTAGTAGTGACCTGTTTACTGTAGTTTGTATAAACTGAAAAGTTCATCTTTTGTGAGCCTAGGCCCTCCTTTGCTTTAATTCAGTCAAGCATATACCTAAACTCCACTGAAGTCAGTAGGAGTTACTTCTTGTATTCTGAAGTGGAGAATATACTTACATGTATATTTATTAAACTTCAGTGGCAGGTACAGTATAAGTTCCGAGATGAAGCGTGCACTGCTCAAATCCACTGTTGTCAAATCATTTTTTAAGAGATTTGAATGAATGCTCTCTGCAGTGTCTTCAGACTGACTCTACAGCTTCAGGCTGTAGAGGGTTGTGTAAACTGGTTTTGGTTGTCTGTAACTCCTTAAAAGGAATTACCTGTGGTCTTAGTAATGTGAATCAAGTATTTGCAGTGATAAAAGTACACTTACCTAAGAGCATCGTCCTGACTATGAGTCTTCTAAAAAGAACTATAGTAGAAACTATTATTCTCTCTGTCTGATGAGCCATCTACTTTGAATTCTAACATCTTGAATTCAGGAGTAAAGTAGAAGTTGCACTGGCTATGTTGCTTTATCACAGCTGGTTCCTCCATTTTATCATTAGCAGAAATGCACAGGGAAGATACTTGTAGCACTGTAAAAAGGTTTGTTTATAAAGCAAACCTGAACTACACAATTAACAAAACAAGACACACAATACATACCTCAATGATTAGATAATTTTGACTGGGTTATAGTTTAATAAGCATTAAAATGACATTAGTATAATAAACAATTGCACTTTAAAACATTTGAAAAATTAAAAAAGTACACAACAAATACCCCACAATTATACATCTTATAGTTTTTATACATTACTATATGAACATAGAGGTTAATCATATATAACCTTGTCAGAAGAAATGGTATTTTGTGTGTATAAGTTACAAAAAATTGAGACAATATACTACATAGTGGTTGATTCGGTTCTTAAAACATTTTTGCTGTTTTAAACTTCGTAGTAATGTTTTGGTTTATATTTTTACAGATTTCCAACACTTTATCAGAAATGGTTGCAACAAAGCTAAAGCAAAGTAACACTTCACTTCATTGGTATTTAGTGCAAATTTTTGTTAATTTAACATGAAATGTCACTGTTGAACATGGACACTTTAGAAATGTTTCCATCAAGTACTGTACATAATACAGTTTTCATTATTACACTAGATACCTTTTATGGTTGAAAAAAAATCTGCTTTGAAGCCTTAGGTTAAGACCATCCTTAATGAAAGCTCTATTCTATGTGCTATAAATGTATTGTATTGGAAAATTGCATCCTTATGTCATGCACAATAGCACCTAATTTTGCTATGCTTTTCAGAATACTAGTACCTGTAATTCTTTAATCCTGATTTACTTCACCTTCTTTATATTTCTGCCTGGCTCCTTCTCCCAAGAAATAGTCATAAAGATGAATTTCAGGCAGTTCAGTTCTTGTAATGACAGTTACCTACTGCAGGCTTACCAACTCTGAAAAAGTGTAAATTTAACTTAAGATGCACTAATTCACAGTCCCAGCAGAGCAAAAATAATTACGGGCTCAACTCTTTCTTCAGGTAAGCTTGCAGAGATTTTACTTTGAAGGTGGTTTGTGTGTTTGTTTTTTTTTTCCCCAAGCATCTGAAAGCAGCATTGCTCCATCTCTGTATAAAACATTTTAAATACTTATATTAAGGGTAAAAAGTTATTTTAGAGATTCTGGTTTTAAATATGAAACTGAGCAAAACTGATGGCTTCAGAGACCCAAGAAGACCCATCTTGCTGCTGCACATAAGACATTCATTGTGTTTGTGCTATTGTAACCATGATACTGAACTGTTGTTTTCCTGTTTGATGGGAAATAGTATAATCAATATGACTTTGGCTGACAAGCCCTTTTTGATTCTTGGAACAGGAGGATACGGCAGGGTTCATTGTGTTTTCTGCAAAATTTAAAGTGCTATTCCTCATGCTGCATACAGCAGTTTGGCTAAAATACTTCTGTGAAACATATGTGGTATCATTCTGTAATGATACAGTTTCTTCTCACGAAAACATCTCCCTTTATGATATTGTAGGCTTAAAGGTTCCTTTGAGCCTTATGTTTCTAAGAAGGAGACATTCAATTTTGTTAAGGACTTCCTTGTAAAACAAACTCGGATGTGTTACAGATTAATGTACTAGGGTGACTTTTTAAAATGTAGACCTGGCTATTTCTGTGGGATGTTGAGCACAGTACAGTTTTTAGTACATTATGGACTTGACCCTTTTTTGTAAGAGGGAGGCAGTGAACATTTCTGTTTTAGTTACAAGAAGTAATAAACTATCCAGTTGCCACAGCAGATACCTGAGATGGGGAAAGTAAACTTCTTTCTGAAGTGTTCTGGCTATCTTGGTTAAAGTACAGGAAGTTATCTGAACTACCTGAAGTTGCACGTGGAGTAATATCAGGAAGAATGCAGAGTTAAAATTCCTGAGACTCTCACTGACTTAGCTTTCAGTTCTCAGTTAACTTCAGTTCTGCAAGTCTTACTCCTGTGGGAACTTACTGAGACAAATTCTACAGCTACGTAAGCACAGGAATAGTTTTACTTATTTTAGTTCCAGTCAATTGATTGGAATTTGTAATCTGCAATCACTGTCTCTGTGCATCTTAAATATGGCTGAACAGTGATGCACTTAAATGACTAGAAGAAACACTGACTTCCTGGCTTCTTTCTGAAAACTTTCTAATTTTTGTTTAAATAATGTTGGGGGTTTTTAAGTAGAGTGATTTTTTTTTTTTTTTTTTTTCCTATGAGTGAAGGAATATAGTGTATTAATCCTATGATGAAATAAATTACCTCAGTATTTGGATGGTACCATCTTTCTACTTACCATTTGCAGATGGAACGATATCTCTTGAAGTTCTTCATTAGGGAAGAAGCTTTCAAATAGCAGGTAGAACTGACAGTTCATACACTTTAACACTTTTAAAAAATTTAGGAATAAGAGAAGGGAGCATGCATCTTGCCTTAATTTTCAACAATAGAGTGCTGAAAAAAATGTCTGAGATCTCCACTTAAGTGTAGAGACCTAAAACTCCAGAACTGAATACCCCCCGAATTTAAGGAGATTCTGAACTGAAGTTCTGGCCCTTTCGACACTCACTAAAATTTACATCCAGTATCTGAGCATTCTGAAATTTTTGAGAGTCTGGCTCTGAAATTTTTGCCATTACCTCATTTAGCTGTTTGTCAAAGCAATGGAATATATGACTTCAGTAGACTTTACAGTGAGCTAGAGCAAAATGGTAATCAGTTCAGTTCAGTTTCCAGTCCTTCAATACATGCATTTTCAGTTTTGTCATGTGTAAAAAGCTGAATAAATAAAAGCAATTAATAGTCAGCAGCAGAGATGTAATTTTACAGTTTACTTTATAATCTGTGGACAGTCACTCCAGGCTTTTGCTTTCCTCTTGGCTAGTGCAAGCCAGGCTGGTTCCGTTGACACAGGGTTAGCATCAGGTGTTGAGAATCTCTTGGCCACCTCCTTTGCCAGTGGGGTTGACGAAACAGAATCTGAAATTTCCACTGGTTTTGATGGGGTGGGGAGGGGAAGAGAAAAAAAAACTTAGTTGAACCTTGTACTTCGTTGTAGGATTCTCGAGATTTCACTTCTTTTCTGTGAAGATGTTCTGATCTAACACTTCACATGTATATTTCCAACCCTTTTACTCAGATCTTACTTTTTATCATATTTGCAAAATAATCAAGTTAGGAGGAGCTGAGTTTCCTTTTTCCGAGCTGACTCCAAGTAATGTAACCCACAGAAACAGGGACAAAATTTTCAGTCTTTGTGAGATCCAGAGAAAACATTTCCAATTTGCTAGTCGTCATCTTTACATAAACTATTTTAATTACATCTTCAGTGTAGCAAACAGTGAGAAATAAAGACGGATTGGGGTTTTTTTTCTCTTTCGTAATGCAGCTGCTAAACATGTGTAACCCAACTGTATTCAGGAGGATTTAGATTCCCTCTTCAGATTAGGGTTCTCAAATAAGCACAGAGAGGAAAGCACTCCTATAGTTTCCTGCCTCAGTCAGTGATGCCCATGAGACTATCCCAAAGAAGAAATAAACCAGCTTGCTCCAGTAGCTGTTCATCACATTTTCTCGGAAATAGCGCATTTAAGACAAACAGCTGTCTCAGCAGCACAATGTGTTGAATAAGCAAGTGATTTCTAACAAGACACTTTACAGAGCAGAACTGTAGAAGTATGTTGTAGAAGTCAGGTGGGAAGATTGTTTAATTCTGTGACAGTGAATGCCCTTGAAGGCAACTTGGATCGAAATGACTCCTAGCTGAAACCTGTGGAGGAGCTCTCACATCCTAGTTACAGAACAACTCCTCACTAATGCCCCCTTACATGTTTTCTTTTTTTATGCGTCAAAGAGCTTTTTTTGGTTAAATGTTCGCATTCAGTCCAAATTGCTTTTAGTTGCATTTCATTTTCAGGTTTTGAATGCTTTTAAAAGCTTTGAAATTGCATGGATGGCAAATATTGTTTATTTTTCTTTTTTAGTACATCCTTAATCATGTATTTTTAGCTATAAGCAAATGAATAGTAGCAGCAGCTATTGCTGTAGACAGACACTTTGAAAAGCTAATTACTTTAAATGTTATGGTAATTTATGCTATTTTAAAGGTTATACCCTCTTATCAGCTCCTGCTGAACAAACCTCAAGTGCAGGGCTGAAATACACCAACTTCTTCAAGTTTGAGGTGTTTTTTTTAATGTCCTTAGAGGAGGACTTGGCAAACTTTTATTTTAAACATGTTCTAGCCTGGTCTTCTGCCTTAAATGCTTTCCTAATTGTGGGAAACCCAAATCGGTGTCATCATCCATGAAACAAATGCTTGTATATAGTATCTGATGTCACTGATCATGGTTACCTGGCTCCCCACGTACCCAGTAATCACACAGAAATCCAGTCACTGTTTCCTTTGGGACCAACACAGTTCTGTGCTTTCACTTTAGGTAACTCAAAATTGGTAATTCCTCCTGAAACTCATTCTAGTGCAGACAGACTGACGACTGGTAATGGGGGCTTGGCCCTTCTTCCATCCCATTTGGTGTCATCTATTTTGCTAGTTTGGTTCCTGCTAGTACTGACCGTGTGCAGCTTAACGTGACACTACTGACGCTTTCCCGGGGCAGCTTCCACAGCCGTCACGTCACGGGTCAGCAGGGATGCTGCAAAGCCGCTCCAGCTGCCTACCTCCAGAGCCAGTCTGGGCACTGGGGGCAGGCAAGTTCGGGGCAATCTGTCGGAGACCTTAGAATGGTTTGGGTCTTTAAAGACCATCTGGTCCAACCTAAGGTGTTGCAAGTAAACCAAGTTCTGAGGGATAGCTGCGCGGGCGTGCAGCTGCAGTGTGGACACACGGCTGCTGAACCAACTGCGTGTAGGCGTGTAGGGGCTGTGCAGCCTGGAACAGGCTCGGAGGTAGGAGCAGCACTGTTTTAGCCTTTACTATTACAGATCACATAAATGAATTACTGCATTCCACAGTCCTTGGCTCGGAGTGGTACTGAATAGATTCGGCTGATAAGTGGATTTACTTTAAAAGAATCCCAGGCTATTTACTGTGCAACTTGTAAAAAGGTTTCTTCAACATCTAGCTGTGCTCTTCTCCAAAACCTTTGGCTGAGGACTAATGTTGGCCAGAGAAATATTAGGCAAGTCTCTATTTCAACAATCACCTTATACCACTCCAAATATCATGCCCTTTGGGGAACTGTTTATTTTAATGTGCCTGCCTTTTGAATATGTAATTGTTTCAGCTTAATTGCAGTGGCAGATAAAGTAGTAGGATCTGGTTCCAGCCTTCCATACCAAATACTTGACTGGGAGGGAGCAGTCCTAAATTCAAAGTGACAAGCTACCTTCAACTGAGGTGGTTAGTTTTTGCATTTTTAAATGAAACAAGAACACTCATTCCAAATACTCTGGGTTAAGTATTTCTTCTGGGCAAACTGGGAGGTATGGGAACACATTATGCTTCATTTCCTACACAAACACACTTTGTACAAGTTCTCATTCCCCCTCTGTGCTAACCCCCAACCTAAAGGCAAAACAGCACTGCAATTGCAATTTACAGTAAATCAAATCCCCCTAACGTGCATTAGTCATGTTCCAAAAATACTGTTGGATATGGCTTGGGGAGACGGCCTAATTTTTTTTTTTTTTTCTAACTTGAAGTGGGGCATTTCTAAACAAACAGTAGTGCAACTTTAAAAAAAACCTGTTAAAATTATGTACATCCTGCGTAATGGCCAGCACACGAGACTGGGACAAGTTGGCTGCCTTCTTGCTGAAAGCAAATGCATTTGTGATTCTAAGGGTAGTATAGGAGAAAAAAAAAATCATTTTCTCAAAAACATGCAATACCATTTCTGAAGTGTAAAGTCTAGAGTAAATCTCAATCTCACACTGTACCTGTCACAGAAGTTGGAAGGGTGTTGGACTTCTTTAGCTGTTCCCTTCTTTCTAGTCTTGACACAGCAGTCTCAGCTTTCTTCTCCCCTTCTTGAGTTGTAGATTTCTGCAGTGTGCTTGTTTTGCTGCTGCTGCTTTTATTATCTGACTGATTACTGAGAGCAGCCTAGAACAGAGAAGGAAAACTGCTAAATGAGAAACAATGTAATGGAATGGCCATAAGTAAGAGATGTCACACCTGATGCCTTCATCACCTGTCCTTTCCTGCACCTTCCTTTTCAGCAAAAGAACAAACCACTGATACTTCTGAAACCAACAGTTACTTGAGACTAAAAAAAAAAAACCCCAAAGTTAAATTTGTCATGTTGTCACTTCAGTCAAAATACTGAACAGTTTGAGCCAGCCCTACCTGTCAAACACAGTGTGCATCTGTGGGCAACTTCCACCCACTGATGTTTTCTTCTGCCAATTATATCTGTAATTCTGCATGTGTCCATCAGAAATTTGGGTCGCATAACAAACATCAAAATATACTTAGTTATCCACGTAATCTCCCTTTTTATCGTCTGTGGTATCTATATACAGCATCACTGTCTGTGTAGCATTGCTTCTGTACTGTAAGTAGAAGTGGTTTTCTTACTAATAGAAACCCATGGATAGTAAATAGCTACTAAGAGAACAGGAAAGAAGTGGCACTTGAATTCAGTGCCTGCTTTAGGCATTTGGATGTTTCACATGATGGTTCATTTCGTTCACTCATCCGCATTTTATCCAAATAATACCTGTTAAAATAAAAATAAATTTAACCTTACTAATATTCACCTATAGATGAGTATTCCAGCTGTTACTTCCCAAGAATTAAGGCTTAACATATTTACTCGAGCTTTGAAAGAACCACGTTGCATACAATTGTTCAGTTCCATCACCTGCGCAATAGTTGTGCTTGCGACTGCTGTTAACTACCGCCTGATATTAGGGCATCAGAGTTCACATTAAAATCGTCACACTATTGCACAGTATTTTTCTCTGGAGGTCCCAGTTCTGCAAAAGGGAACTCCAAACTTTCAGATTACTTTTTACTCACTGTCATTTTAGCTTTTACGAAATCTTACAAACCAAACATTAAAAAAAAAATAATTCCCTTTCACGTAGTAAAACTAGCTAACAGTTATGGTATCATTATGGTATAATTATGGTATCAATAATTATGGTATCAGCATTTCTCATGGGCAGGTTTCTAAAGATTGTTTACAATTTCTTTAGCCAGCTTCTCTGCTTGCTTCGCCTCTCTGGCTTGTCTCCTCTCTTCCCTCGTAGCTTGCTGCTCACGAAATCCCTTTTGCTTTTGCAGTGCTAACGTAATCCAGAGCGGTTGTGAAGTTTCAACTTTTTCCATCAATTTAGAGCCATCCAAAGAGTGCCTGCTCTGGAGGACGGGCCTTTCTGAAAGGAAACATGACAAGAATTGGTTGAGTAATGCACATCTCTTGTCTCAAGCAAACCCATACGACTTCTCTACCTTGTGACACCTCTGGCGCTAAGCCCGTTGCATGCCATGTCATTCACAGACCTTCATGGACTGTCGAATCCTCAAACAGTTTTTATGCCTCAAGGATAAGACCTAATTCAACACACTCATACACCTGTTCAAATATATCTGGGTTTTGTGTGAAAAAGCCTACCCCAGGCACTTAGACTTACAGCCTTATTTACTACAAATAGTAAGACATTTATAGCGAGACATTTAAGTGAAAGTGATACACATGCCTTGGTTGTTTATAGCTGATGAAAGGGATCCAGCCACTAGGTACCGCAGTTCCCTGTTTTTTCAGTTATAATTAAGGGCAGAAGAGTGGGCAAACTTCAGCCAAAAGAAGGGGGCTGAAATGAGGTACTCTTGTACATGCAGCCTCTCTTAAAAAAAAAATAGGGGTTGGTTTGTTTTTTTTTTTTTTTTTTAATTGTCACCTGAGCATTTGAATTTCTGTAGCCTGCGTGAAATCGGGGCTGGCACCCAGTATAGAGCAGTGAGTGGCAGTGAGGAGCGCTGGGGGGCACAGGTGCTCCTGCAGAGCTCAGCGAGCACAGAAACCCTCGGCTGGCCTGGGCCCTGCTCTCCCACACCGGCAGCTGTGCCTCCAACTAGTCTCCATAAATCCTCGTTTAAAAATGTAAGTGAAAGGAAAAAGCAAAAAAAAAAAAAAAAAAGCAGCAGTTCCACCGAGAGACGGCTTTAGAAGCGTCTTGATGCTTGCAAAATTCAAGAACGGAAAAAATTGGTCTTTCCCAATAAAATGGTGGGTTCCTGCCTAGCTCTTTTGAGTGTCCTTACACTGAAAGGGTAATTTTTACTCTTTTACAGAATCCTATTTTAGGACAGAGGGGCTTTCACCCTTCCTCTGAAGAGCCGCTATGGCTACTGTAAGTGTTTCTGTTACTGAAGAATGCCTCTGCAATGTCGACTCTTCTTCAGCTGGATTGGGTTAGATAGAGAATTTGCCCAGAATAGGCACTACAAGGGGACATACATCTTAATATTTTTAAAGCTAGATAATATTCTGCTAAAAAATAGATACAATATAGTGTAGATTATAACAATTACTTCCTCTGCTCTGATGACACCATTACACATGGAACACAGAGTTCATCATCTGACTAACTAGGTAACATCTCTGTCCGGGAAAACACACACACACTTCAGTGACCTCCTTGAAATTAACTTCCTTAAGCAGTTTGCACAGGTCATGCTGAGTTTACGTGGATCTGAGTTAAGTTGTGGGGATGGGAATTCATTCAGACATCCCGAAGCAGAGTAGTGGCATGCCTCAAATAACGTGCCAAGTAAAAATTTACCTTAAGATCAAATTCCTTCCTCTAGACCTCCAGTTTTGAAAACGCAGGCAACAGCTAAATGAGTTTTGAGAAATACATACCTTTCTTCGGTGGCTCGGGCTTTTTGTCATTTTTTTCTCTCCATGGAATACTTATAGATGGGAAAAAGGACTTCTTTTCTCTGATTTCTTCCTCTTCATTTTTGTACTCATTGGATGGCGTGGGGCGCGCTGCATTTCCTCTGTCCTCTTTTCTCCATCCACCATCTGATTCGGCTTTAACCAACCTTTGCCCTAGCATATCAGCTAGGTTTGATCTGTTAATTTTGGAGAGAGGAGATGACGGTGGCGTCTGGCTGGGGGGCTTTGGAGCTAAAGCAGGTTTCTGTGGGACCAGTGACTTGCATGCTGGTTTCTCATGGGGGGTTAAAGCACTATGGCCGGTGGCTGGTAGGACCACTGCTGTGCCCACTGGTTGTGAAATCTCCACCACAGTAATTGAAGAGTCTTTTAAATTACCAGGGATGTTCACTCTCCCCATACGAGGGGATGTACTCTCTTGTGAAGCAAAAACAGCAGATTCTTTCTCACCTTCTGTCGTGACTATTGGGTCAGGCACACCATCAAAACTATCTCCTGCACTGTATCTTTTCTTTTTCCTCTGCTCTACCTGTTGATCATAATGGAAACGTAAAGAGTAGTTTGTCCTTCGTAACTTTATCCCAAAAGGAGAAACATTTTCTTCTCCGTTTGGTGCTGGTTTATCTGCTTTTTTTGTGCTGTTATTCTGCTGATTTTCCAGAGCACCAGGAAGTTCCGGCTGGGGTAATTCTTTACCTGGAGAATGAGGAAAACTTGGAACAAGGAAAGACGGAAGATCTTTTGCAAATTTACAGCCTTCTGTGCTGTCTGTCTTTCCACTACGCATTTCCGTTTTCTCCTTAGCCTTTTCAGCTAAGTTACCCTTAAAAGTGGAAGCGACATCCTCCTTTGAATCAGTGGATGAGCCGGTGAATCTGCCCACAGCCACTGTTTCGTTGCCTTTTGCCACACTTACATTTTCAGCATCTGAATTGGTTTTTGAAGCTTCTGAAAATTTCTGCCACGCTGGTGTTATCGAGAACTTTGCATTTGCAGAGAGGGTTTTCCTCAGGTTGCCATGGGGACCACCCCGTCCTCGGGGTGTCCAGTCGTCACTGCGTCTGCAGACACTTACTCGGTCTCTCTCATTATATTTGCTGTTTTCTGCATTCTTTAGGATTCTGGAACGGATAGAGGCCCACTCAGCTAGTACAGCCTGATTGTTCAATGCCTCCTGTGCATATTTCATTTTACTGCTGCTGGACTTGAGGTTCTGGGTTTTTTTCTGGGCCTTCTCTGGTGAAGGAATAGTCACAGTTTTCCTCTCTTCTGTTAAGCCAAGTAACGATTTACAAGCCGTGTCCTTTATCTGGTTCAAGTTAACTGCCGTGCCACACAGCTGGGCTCCAGTAACCAAAATAGCTGTATGGGGTACACACACAGCTGACGGGAGTGTATGAGAGCCCTTGCCGGCAGTGTGCATCCTGCAGTCTTTGATGGATGGAGAAGAAAGTCCTGCTCCTTTGACGGGCATGACTGGACTCAGATTTACTTTCTGAAATATGATCTGTTTATCTCCAGAAGACACTTGAAATGTGAAGGGTCTGGATGCAGTTTGTCTTTCATCTACCTCTTGCCACCGAAGTTCTTCCCCTATTCGCTTTTGTTCCTGAGCCTCAGCTTCTCTCTTCAGTTTCTGGGCTAGGACTTCTTCTACCATTTTATTCCCTTTTTCTGGCTGTTTGACTTTTTGGGATCTTGATCCTTCTTGGAGCTTCTCCTCTACTGGATGCCTATCAGCCCCTCCAGAACACAACTGATCCTTGTCCTGTTGCTGTTCCAAAGATTTTTCTTGTTGGTTTTGCTGAAGATTTTGTCCTTCTGTGTCTACCTTCTGCTCTTCCAGCTTGTTCCATTCTTGTTCATTTTGTTCCTTTTGCTGCTTCAGTTCATCTTGTTGCATGCCCTCTGCACTTTCCATGTGCATTTGTTTTGTTAGCTTGTGTTTTCTCTGCTCTTCCCGTTTCTTTTTCTGATCTATTACTTGTTGTTGTTGTTCCTTCTCTGTCTTTTCTCCTTTCTCCTTCAAATGCTGCCTTTGTTCCTCCTGTTTCTTCTGTTGTTCAAGGCTCTCAGCTTCTTTCTCCTGCTTCAGTTCTATTTCAGCTTCTTGAAGCTCTTTCTCTTCTAGCTCTTGTCTCTGCTTTTCTTCCTTATTTTTTTCCTTGAGTTCATTTTGTTCCTCCAGACAATTTATTTCTTCCTCTTGACACTGTTTTTCAATCTTGTGTTGCCTTAATTCTTCCAGCTCTACCCTCTTCTGCTCTTCCAACTCCTGTCTCTGTTTCTCCTCCAGCTCCTTGCACCTCTGCTCTTCCCGTTCCTGATGCTTCTGCTCCTCCAATTCCTGACATCTCTGCTCTTCCAGTTCCCAGCACTTCTGCTCTTCCAGCTCTCGTCTCTGTTGCTCTTCTCGTTCCTGGTGCTTCTGTTCCTCCAGCTCTTGTCTCTGTTGCTCTTCTCGTTCCTGGTGCTTCAATTCCTCCAGCTCTCGTCTTTGTTGTTCCTCCCATTCTCGGCATCTCTGCTCCTCCAGCTCTCGTCTCTGTTGTTCCTCCCGTTCCTGGTGCTTCTGCTCCTCCAGCTCTCGTCGTTGTTGCTCCTCTTGTTCCTGGTGCTTCTGCTCCTCCAGTTCTCGTCTCTGTCGCTCCTCTTGTTCTTGGTGCTTCTGCTCCTCCAGCTCTTGTCTCTGTTGCTCCTCCCATTCCTGGAGCTTCTGCTCCTCCAGCTCTCGTCTCTGTTGCTCCTCCAACTCCTTCTGCCTCTGCTTCTCCAGTTCCTGGCACCTCTGCTCATCCAGCTCTTGCCTCTTTTCAGCCTCCAGCAGTCTTCTCTCCTCTTTATGGCATGTTTGCTCTTCTGTTTTCAAGGATGTCTCTCCTTCAGGGAGATACTGCCTCCTCTCTTCTTCACAACGTCTTCTCTCCTGCTCTTTCTGCATCTGCTCAAGTTCTTGGCACCTTTGTTCTTCCATTTCTCTTTGCTCTTCCATTTCTACAATCTGTCTTATCCTTTCGGCCTCTATGATCCCCCAGTGATCTTCAATTCTTTTCTCCTCTTCCAGCTGAAGCTCATTCTGCTCATCTCTGTTCTGGATTAGTTTATCTGCTATGATGTGTCCATTATAACCTGGGTATCTGTCATCTCCATACAGCTGAGTTTCTAGGTCCTCTGGCTCAAACTCTGTTATTGTTAAACTCTGTGATCCCTAAAATTGGGACACAAGTTTGGAGTTACTGAATATGGCCTATTGGCTTGTTATTCTTTACAGTGAACAATCAGTTGCAAATGCAAAACAACTTAAAAACAAAAACAAAAAAAAACAACAAAACAACACGATAATTTAGATCCAGAGCCAACAGACCCACCCCAATTTATGGATCACATCATCACAGATCCCATGCCTCTCACCTATTCAGATGATACAGAAGCCCAAGGAACAGAGCACAAGTTTCGTATGCCTGTTCTACTACTTAGAACTCCATCCTTTAAGCCTGAAATAATTATCATCTGCTTAAGGGCATTGTTTTGCCAGTTCTTGCACAGCAAATCTAGCTGTTACTTGCAGAGACAGAAGCTGTTGCCTACAGAAAAGAGCTCTGCGATGCTAGCCAGGAAAGAACACTGCTCAGGAAAACACAATTTGGTTGCTTGTCACAAATCCCAGGACAACACAATTTGGTTGTTTGTCACAAGTCAGGATATCTTCCCCATTAGCTGTGCTGAGACTCCAGATTTATTGCAGGAACTGTGGGACCACGCATCAACAGAGAACCAAGAGCAACCCCAGCGATACTGTACTGAGGCATGTGCTACCTGCAGACTGGTTCTCCACGCTTGCCCCACAGCCCTGGCATGTGCAAAAAACTGAATGCAGATCTTCTCTACAGCTTACTCCTTGTCTCTGTAGTGACATGGTCTGAAGATGAGCTGCACCTGAAGAGCGCTTCCCAGCGCTTTCCTTGTGGAAAACAGCTCAGCTAATGCCCTGTCTAGCTATCATTTGGCTCCAGTTAAACAGTCTGTTTAACAATCTGTTAACTGTTAAACTAGAATTTTATATTTCGCTTTAGAGCTGTAGCAAGAGCTGTGTTACTTAAGTCTTGCTCTTTCCTATAAGACAATATTATCACTGTCAGAACCCAGGCCAGTTTTAGAGAATTTAATTTTTTCCCAGTCAAATTTTGCACTATCTGATTGCCTGTACCAGAGCAGCATTAACAGTGGAAGATATCCTTCAGACATTTATGACCTAATTTTTTTACTAGAGAAACTAGAATCAGGACGCTTTCCCAATGTAAAATCTTAGTGCAAGTGCTCCAGGTGCAAGTAGTATTCGTCTCAACCGGCTCTATTAATACTTCTTTGCATCCTCTCTCCAGCTAGGGTTTCATCTTTAGGTCCCTATCTTGAAACCAAGACAAAATGAAATGCATTTTGTTTTGCCTTGAAGACATGAGATTTGTTGAAGCAGCTTTCAATAGCGCTCTCTAACAGTGTTAATCACACCTGAAGACAGTCCTCTGTCTATAGCTACTCCTGGTACACTCAGTTACAGTTATTTTGTACCCAGCTTCAAAGGCAACACTCCTCCTCTCGCTGTTTGGCCGGTGATTCAATACCTTTGTCAATCTCTTGTGCTTTCTTGACATCCTCTGCTTCTTTGGCTTTACTGACAGCTTGTGTTTAGCTGCACTGTTGTCTAGACGAGCAACAGCCTGGGGAACTGCATCCAAATTGATTGTTTCAATGGTGCCAGAACAGGAAAACTGTCTTTTTGGCCGAGATGATTTGACTGGAGTGACCTGTTTGTATCACAAACACAAGAAGCTATTATTAAGCTATTTGTTCCAGATAAATAAATTGATAGATAATGCACACACACACAAAAAGCTTTTGCAGTTTTGAATTCAAAAGCATTATTAGCAGAAAAGATTTCAAATCATGTTTTTCCATATTACAAATCATGAACTTTGGACATGAAAGTTACAGCTGTAATATTTTCCTACTTCCAGTACTACATGTTTTTATACTTTTCACTTAAAAATTACTTAGACCATTCTAACTGTTTTTTCGCAGTTTAGCTCCACTCTGAAGTTGTTGGGAATGGAAAGGGCAGAGTCAGGGCTTTAAGCAACATCAAACACTGGGACATATTAAAGTTTGCTTACTGTGGAAAAAATATCTACACGTTTAAATAATTTAGATTATACACTTTAGGGATGAGCATATCGGATTGGCTTATCTCAAGCATTATAAAAGAACAGCTACGGAGTTGTACTGTCTGCATGGGAGAAGACTACAGTACTGGATCTCAGATCAGCACAGTGCCTGCAGAAAACTTTCCCCCCACAGTCTCGTGGAGTTGTCCAAGCTAGCACCAAGAACAGCAAAAAAATAAAATAAGACACTACTGGCTGATTGGTGCTTTTCTCTCCTGCCCTTCAAATATTTGGGTTCAGAAAGTGCAAACACAAGCAAAGTGATTTAGTGAGACTCCTCTCATGATTAAATACAGTGGAACTGTACATCTAGATGTGTAAGAGGGAGCCTTTCATCAGTGGCTCCCGTAAGTCACCGAGCTATCATCCTGAGACTTGTATTTGGCACAGTCCAAGTAGAAAAAGAAGACAGAAAAAAAAAAAAAAAAAAAACCACGAAGGGAGAAAACATCTTCTATAAGAAAAGAAAATCACATACCTTGTTTTCAAGACAGCTCTGTAATCTTCTGAGGTTAAACATATGCTAATCAGGGAACCAATTACTTAAAAGCTGATGGAGCATTTTGCATATGCTTATTGAATTACATGTAGGCATAACAAAGTAGCAAAAGTACTTATGAAAATGATGTCTCTATGATTAATACATCAAATGCAGGAATGCTGCAAGACTGGCAGAGACAGAGTTCTGCTGTTTCCTGCAATTAGCTCTTACAGATTTCTCAATCTTACTTATTGCTTATTTACTAGACCCAAAACTGCACAACGTTTGCAAAATCTTGGATGATCAATGAAACAGCCAAATATGTATTAAAGCAAAAACTGTCAGGCTTCTAACAACTAAAATTAGAAAGTAACTCAGTGCAAACCAAGTATAAAAGTTTTTTTACCTTTTCATCCACTTCATGTCCTGTTCCAGGCAAATCCATTGTTCTCAACAAATCTGGAGTGTCAGTGGACTAGAAAACAAGAAGATTAACACAGCTAGATATTAAAATGTAAAGGGCCTAATAAATATGGTTCAAAGGACTTGTGAAATCATTCATGTTAGGGTAGGATTTTTACCCTGTTTCCTGTTACTGCAGGACTGATGGTAAATAATTCTTGTTCCTAAATGCCACGAGTTTCTCTTTGCTGCTTCTTGAATCACTGCTGTCTGTACAGAAGCAGTTGCTGCTACAAGACACTACAAAAGGCAAAACACTCACGGTTCTTTAACAAGATGACCAGGTTCCAAATCAAAAGAAAGAGCACAGCTTTGGAGGATTTCGATCAGATCTTAATATCTTTATTTTCTCCTGACCTACACCTGAGGAAAAAATATAGGAACCTTGATCAAGCATTCCTTCTGCTGCAAGGAGTTTCAACTCCAGATTCTTGATGATGACTCTTCTTACAAAGCAAACTGGTGCCCCCAGCACAATCACAGCCTAGCAGTCACTAGGACTCCCTAGCTACCGTCCCTCTCTAAGCCATCTCACAGGAGGGGATTTTTAAGGCACAGGCAGGAGGCAGGGGTTGAAGCAGCATTTCTCAGGAGGCGGGGGGGGGGTGTGTGATCCCAGCTGGACACCAGGTACCCACCAAAGCTGCTCTATCACTCCCCCTCCTCAACAGGACTGGGGGAGAAAATATAATGAAAGACTTGTGGGTGGAGATAAGAACAGGGAGAGATCAGTCACCAACTACCGTCACGGGCCAAACAGATTCAACTTGTGGAAAGTAACTTAATTTATTGTAAATTAAATCAGAGTAGGATAATGATAAATAAATCCTAAAACACCTTCCCCCCACATCCCTCCCTTCTTCCTGGCCTGATCTCTTTTCATAATTTCTCTACCTCCTCCCCCTGAGTGGCACAGGGGGATGGGGAATGGGGGTTGCAGTCAGTTTATCACACGTTATCTTTGCTGCTCCTTCCTCCTCAGAGGAAGGACTCCTCACACTCTTCCCCTGCTCCAGCGTGGGGTCCCTCCCACGGGAGACAGTCCTCCACAAACTTCTCCAATGTGACTCCTTCCCACGGGCTGCAGCTCTTCACAAACTGCTCCAGCGTGGGTCCCTCCCACGGGGTGCAGTCCTTCAGGAACAGACTGTTCCAGCGTGGGTCCCCCACGGGGTCACAAGTCCTGCCAGCAAACCTGCTCCAGCGTGGGCTCCTCTCGCCATGGGGCCACAGGTCCTGCCAGGAGCCTGCTCCAGTGTGGGCTTCCTACAGGGTCACAGCCTCCTTTGGGCACCCACCTGCTCTGGTGTGGGGTCCTCCGTGGGCTGCAGGTGGGTACCTGTTCCACCGTGGGCCTCCACGGGCTGCAGGGCACAGCCTGCCTCACCATGGCTTTCACCACGGGCTGCAGGGGAATCTCTGCACTGGTGTCTGAAGCAAACCCTTCCCCTCCTTCTTCACTGACCTTGATGTCAGCAGGGCTGTTTCTCTTACACATTCACACTCCTCTCTCCTGCTGCAATTGAGCAGCAATTTTTCCCCCCCTTCTTAAATATGTTATCACAGAGGTGCTACCACCATGGCTGATGGGCTTAGACTTGGCCAGTGATGAAGCTCCTGGCTCTACTGGACTTGGGGGAAGCTTCTAGCAGTTTCTCACAGAAGCCACGCCTGTGGACCTGCCACTACCAAAACCTTGCCATGCAAACTCAATACATCATCACACCCAGAAACATTGTTTTTAACCATTACATCACATTATTGCTTCATAACCTAATGAATGTTGGGATCCCAATATACCAGGTGCACATGATTGTTAGCATAAAGCCTAAAAAATCGACTTTACAAATAGAGGGCAAATGAAACCCAGAACTCTTGCCATCAATCCAAGTTACTCAGTCAGGAAAATCGGAAGTCACAAAGCAACACAGGAAATCTATTTGAAGTAGAGCAGTGCTATGGGGTCACGGCCACCAACTCCTGAGAGAAGCCATCCCGTCCCCCAAGGACCTATGCAGATAAACACACAGGGGAGTTGTAAGGCCAACAGCAGAGACAGGAGCAGAAACCAGGCAACCTGCCGTGCACCAGAAATTTCTGATAAAGCCGGTAAAGAGTAGCGCGCAGAAAGAGAAAAGGAAAGTACCGAGTGCTCTGGCTGACCCTGTGCATGCAGTGTTGGTTTGTTTGTATCTACAATGTCCTCTGAGCAGGTATGTTTACCCCTTCAGCATTTGGAAAAAGAATTATGCAAAGGTGCATTCATTTTGTTTTCAAAACACAATATTTAAAAGAGTAGGTGGTAAGGACTGAATTTCTCCCTCCTTATTACACAAAGGTACTCTAGTGTTTTTTTAGTGCTTGAATTATTTTCTCCTTTGAGCTGGAAGTCACTAGGTGACATTCAGGTCTTCTGCAGGAGCCAGCAAGAAGGCTGACTGCAGAGAATCTATGTTGGTCTCAAACACAGAGTTTCGCCTAGTACGAGGGTAGATAGCCAAAGCCTGTCCACACTCCTACTGCGCTCTTTGTGCTCTTGGTTCACCACAACTGAATGCTTCAGAAGGGAGTATTTGTGAAGCAGAAAAAAAAACCACCTTACTTTGGCTGCATTTTTTATCCTTCCAGACAGCAGAGGGAGAGTCTTGAGTGTGCAGGTCCTACCCAAATGCCTGACTCCCTGACAGGTCCAGCCACAGCCACGGAGGAAGTGGTCACAGAGGACCTATGTTGCCCCTTGAAGACTGGTGAAGAATTTAGGCCACCTCAACCATAAATCTCCCTTCTGTGTGTTTGGCTGAATATAGGCATGAGCTGCAGAGGGCACTTACTGCCTTCACTCTTCACGCAGCTACCACTAGTGCTCATGAACACGAGAGGAGGCTCATGCCCTAGTAACCCTCCAGTAATCCTGGAGGGTTGCATGTGCATGGTGGGTTGCTGTGTGCCTTCCCCAAGGGTTCTCATGCACAAAGTCAGCCTCCTCCGGGCAGGGAAGGATGTCCCTCTGTCCCCCACACTCCCTTCAGCCATTGCAGCAACACACAGAACAAGTCTTGCCCTAGAGGATTTCCCAAGAGCTTCTGTCACTCACCATGTTTCTTTGTCTGAACAAGACCTTTCTTGGACACGTGAATGCCCACAGTTCCTGGAATCAAAATCTTCATAGATAATTTGAATAATTATTTGAATTATACTGGACATTTGGATTTAAGGAGCATTCTGAAAATGTTTCTCTCCCTTCGTCTTTGGTTCATGTCCATGGGAAATACAGATATTTACCCCAAGACCCAGAATTTTACGGATTTAGGCTCTCATTTTGCAATGATTTTCCTTTTTGCCATTTGATGCTGTGAACGACTTTTCATGCTGGCAAGTCCATATTTCAAGACACAAAAGTCTCAGAAAAATCTCCTGTCTTCTAGCTACACTGCGAGTGATGTCTGCATTGCTGGAAGTCCAGAGCAAATGTTCAAACTGGTAATTCTCTAGAACTCAGCTCAGGATGCCAAGAGCACACGCCTCTCACCAGTCCAAGAAGCACGGGCTGAGAGATCCCACCCACATAAAACAGCCCTCTGAGCTCAGCTACGCCTCGCTGGAGACAACTGCAACACTCCAGCAAACTTTACTGTTTTACTACTGCTATAAAGCCATGAATATGTCAATTTAAAGTGCTTACTTTATTACCACTGTCTGAGATCACAGTGTCTTGCTGATTCTCAATCTCCATGGGACTACTGAGCAACACATCCTCTTCTATACTAGCGTTTGCCTCCCCCATTGTCCTCACAGAAATTGTCATTTGTGGAGGCTGCCCAAATTTTATATTCTTGGCCAACTGTTGCTGAAAAACAAGAAAAGAAAAAAAAAAAAAAAAGGTATTTATATTATGAGCAAAACAAGCCAAGTCTAGCACATGCCCCTTCTCCACCTGAAAGCTGCACAGAAACAGGGCAACTTCCAACTCTGGACAAAAAAAAAAAATCAACTTAAGGCTTACGTTGCTGCAACATGGTGGGAACTCCCTCTTCTTTCTCCCTGCAAAGTGACCAGGGTCAGGAATTTACTGCATGATTTCTGACTTTGGATGATCAACCTGAGTTCTTGCCAGTGTTGCTGACTTTTGCAAACTTACTGTGAATTTTGAGACACACCTTATCTTTTTTTAATCTATGTCCTACGTTAATACTCTGTTTAGAAAAGCTAATTATGAAGCCTTACAGTTGCAAAGAAGTAAGATTATGAGTCAAGTGTACACTGAGAAACTAGAACTACCCCACAAGGCAACCTTTTTCTTCTCCAGCCCCCAAACCCTGCATCTCATGCATCTGTAGTTCTTAAAGATTGTAATGTTTAGTCCTAAGTTTTAAAAGCTAAGGGTCTGGCATAACGCTGACTTAGAGGAGACAAATTCTCAAAGGAGGGGAAACCCAGCTTCTTTTGGGTGCTTGATCTCATAGGAACATGCCTGCTCATGCTCACGTGCACTGCCACATCGCTGCTTTTGCACAAAGTATTTTATGCAGGGGACATACAGTAGATGAATGGATAAAAGAGCTTTCCCACCATTTATTTTCCTTGTTGAAGTCATCTTCTCTCAAGGGTTACAAGAAAGTACTCTTGAATTATATCAAGCACAAGATTAGTAAAATAAGTAGCATATAATATCTTCTGTCTGATAGGGTGAATTAGAGAAATTACATCCCTGGCTACTGCTGAGACACATACCATACGTCTTCAAAAGTGAACTTTTAGCAAAAGAGCTAGAAGAAATTCTTTAGAAGGAGCAAATGGAGTAAGGAATATTTATTGATAGATTTTCTTCCTGAAATATTTCAGGGAATCATTCTCAATTAGGAAGGAAGGGACTGCAGAGTTATTTTCCTGCTTTACTCTTTTTCAAGCATGGAAAATTCACCAGAGATCTCCCATTTCTGTCTTGCACTACTATGAACATCTACAGCTCAGTGATACTCAATTCAGTTGTGCAGCTTCTGTTCAGTGGAAGTGTCAGGTACATACATGGACCCCCGATATGAGTTTGCTGCCAAGAACTGCAGAAGACTGGAGTAAATAGCATGCAAAATAAAGATGTTTATCTCCCTATAGCACAGAGTCAGTAGCATGGTTTAGGTGAGCAGTTGTCAAGGGAAGATAGATGGACCTCTAAAAGGATCCAGGTGAGATCAGTCTCATTGCCATCACTGACCAGTGGACTAGATTCTTATATAAAGTTTATCCACATTACCCCAAAACTTTACCAGATTTCTGTACTGAACTATTAAGACAAAATGTATATGCAGAGATTCCTCATAATCAGGTTATTAAATTTGAATAGTTTTTCTCAGTCTCCTCATCAAGTTATGCATTATTTATGCCCATTTGGATTTTGGCAGAAAGTCATGAAATTCATCTAATACATCATTTTGGCATTGTTGGCAGTTCTGAACGACAGAGTTTTATTCCTGACTATATTAGTGGCAGTGCACCCGTAGTCTAAAGGCAAGAGTTTCACCAAGTCCTCCCAGGCCTTCTTGTTAGCAGTGCAGCACTCTGACTTGAAATCTTATGTTTCAATTCTGTAAATGGGAGCTGGGGAGAGCAGACGGGTCTGTATTAGTGTCAAGACTGTAATTTTGCTCTATTCCTGCAGGTCCTCTGATGCTAGTAGAAAATTATTTCAGAAAGCTTCCTAATTTGATAATGTGTTTTCTAAGTTGAGGCTGCTTCTTTCTTCTTCCTAAAGTCATATTCCTAGACAAATAGTTCTCTGAGGTAGAAAGAAAACTGGAACCATCAGCACTACCCAAGCAACAACCCAAGAAACTAAGGATTTGCGCATCTGTTCCATGGTTAAAACACGCTTGCACGTACATATTGCTTGCAATGTGTTTTGGAGGAAGGGATGGTGTGTTATTCTCTTGATCTTCTGATCAAGCTCTTGATCTAGTGTGTGTGCAATGCACAGTGGGAGTTGTGTGGTGATGGAGTTACTGTGGAGAATGGTCTGCGCTTGAAAAAGAGTGGCCTTTTGAGTTGTCATCAAGAATGTTTGAGGGCAGTGCTGTAAAAATGTCTATTTGTGTATATAAAAGTTTAAAATGTAATTTTCCTGATATTTCCAGGAAATAGACTGTCCTCAATATTTATGGTCCGTACACAGGGTTAGTTTGTTTGTTTGTTTGTTTAAATTACTTCAAAGTTTTAGAAGCTTATTTGCTCGGACTTGCATAAATTAGTTTGAAGACTGAAGAAGCTCTAGTAGCTCTCATATTCCTTCCAAGACAGAACGTCCTTCTCTGTATTATTGATTGGCCTTTTTGGAACAAATTTAGCTTTAAAAAGCTCCACTAATACTTCTCCACTGGACAGTTTCTTTCAGTGCATTCTAATCTCCAGAGCTGATGCTGAATACCAAATGTCAAAATCTCAAATAGCTTATTGTTACCACTGAGCATATTTACTCTTATTGCTTTCAAAGAGCAATGTTTAACCTGCTCCTTGTTCTTTTTAAAAATGTGTTTATACTGTAACTGCAGTGCAATTATCTTCTCTCGGAAAAATTCATACAGATACATGCTCTACCTGGTCAATCATAAAGACCCCAAAAATGCATCATCCCTGAAAGGGAAGAAAAAACCCACAACTTTTACTTGGAAGAACACATACAGATAATCTAACGCAGAGCTGGGGAGATACATCAATTTAAGCTGCAAGGCCATTGAGAAGAGGCCATATTCCCTGAAAAAGAGCACCTGCTTTAAATTTCTCAAAAGTTTCAGTTTGACATTTATTTCTGAACACAAAACTATAAATCCTCTGTACTTGAGAATTCCCTGTGCTGACAGCATGTGGATGATGGTTGCCTAAGGAGGTTTATTTGCAAGGCCGGTCATCAGAAGTTGCAGGCATGAGATTTTGTTCTTCTGCCATTGCACAGTCATGTGTTTAAATACCCTTTTGGAAATCTCCATAGATGCATATTGGTCTCAGCTAAATGACCCTGGTCTCTTTTGGTTTGTGCGAGAAGACTTGTAATTTAGCAGCCAGAAATCACCATCCTGCTCTGAAATCTAACTGTCAGCTAGAAGCAGAAGGGAAGAGATGGACGTTTCCCATCTGCCCCTTCCACCTCCAGCCTTAGCAACTCCAACGGGCTTTCCTGGTCCCTCAGTTTGCAGCCAGCAGACAGGCAATTCCACAGGGCTTACAAACCATTCTCAACACCAAAACAGCTTGGCTACTGCATACGACAATTATATCACAAAACAGCAGCTGGAGGGACCACACACACATGGGAGCTTCAGAATGGGATCATCAAGCTGTGCTCCAGACCATTCATCCTTGAATTTTTTTCTGTAAGATTCAAGAGGTGCATGAGACTTTGTCTATTCACACCCAACTCGGTGGATATTGGTGTGGTGCCATTCAGTGTGAGGTGAGGGGCAGGGCTGCACATCTAATAAAGGCAAAGAAATACCAGGAGTTTAGGGGAAAAAAAAAAAAAAATTTGCACTCATCTGATTTTTAGTATCTTCCTCAGTGACTGGACCATGACACAGGCCCACTTTTATCTCATGCAAAATAATTTGCTAAAATGTGATGCTATTTAACTGACATCTTTACACCAGCTTACCATTAGTAACTTCAGAAATAAAACTCCTAAGTTAAATTGCACTGCATTGGTTGGCACCTGCAGCAAATTAAAAAACTTAGACTTTCACAGCACTCTGTGTTTGCATAGGAAATGCCAGAGCACAAACTTTCCATATTAACCGGCAGAGAGCCCAGATGGGGCTGTACATCTCCTCTTTCACTCTAATTTGGCTCCTCTTTTGGTACATGCCTGCTTGCATGCATGTTGAATTCAGCCCCCTGAAACCACACCATTCTTACGGCTCTGTGCCTGGAGTGAATCCAAAACCGGATCCACTGAACTGCTTACTCTGTTCCGTTAAAAATCATTAAAACAGGGTGTACTATTTCAGCTAATTCAAGTAAGTCTTACAAGAAATGCTGATCATATTTTGCCTCCAACTCAAATACCTATTTTCATATCTGTTCACAATGTCCAGATTTATAAATAAATTAAATTATGTTTTCTTGTTATAACACATAACTGTGAAATAATGACCTAATCAGTAACACTTGTCCAAAGAAGAGCCATACTATTGAAACTCCACTAGGTCCTGTACTGTGTCTCACAGTGACTCAAAAATCAAATACTCTGGGAATACATAAGAACAGGGCAAGCCCATACTAAGATTTTGCTTCTTCTGGAGTAAATAGCCAGTTGGGAAATTTTCTTTTACGAATTTGTTTCATTGCTCTTTGAACTTTCATAAAGATTTCAGGAATAACAGTGCTGTATGACAATGAGTTCTACAGTCCAACTATGCATAAAGAAATATTTGTTTTGGTTTGAAAGTGTTACTAGTTTCAACCGATGCTCATGTGTTCTTATGCTGTGAAAGACTGAATAATTGTCCTCTATTCATTTTCTCGAGTCCACTCATGATTTCATGCATCCCTGTCATATTTTCTCTCTTATCATTTCTTTTCTAGGCTGAAAAGACAGTTTACCTAATTGTTCTTTGGGAGTGAGTTTTAATTGTAAGAAATACAAAGCTGGGCAATTATGCCTTGAAAATTCACCCCCAATTCTACTAAATGCAGAGTATGGAGTTGGAAGATAATAGCTTTGAGGTTTAGCAAATGACTTTATATCCTTGTTGAGATCTGGGCAATATCAAAAAGAAACAACAATGGGAATGGCTGGTAGGAATACAGATGTGCAATGCACAGTAGGGGAAGCACCAGCTTGATCATTAGCTAAGATATGTTAATGACTAAAAGAAATGAGATCCAAAACTGAATAGTCATTGGTATGACAGGAAGAAAATTACTTGGGACATTCATTATTACAAAGCCAGGGAAATGTGAATTTAAAAAGTGGTCCTTTAGAATTTGACCAAGAAGTCTGGATTTCCAAGACATGTTTTATCTTAAATAGTATCTGGGTGGTTTACACATTTACAGAGCAGAGGGTTTGTTTGTTTCAAACCACATGTCCACATGAAACAGAAAAGATGTAGCCCAGTAATTCCTAAACGCAATAAGCCATATGCCATAGTCAACCTTTAATATTTCTTGCAGCTGACTGCCACAGCCTCGTGGATGCCAGATGACCCATGATACTTCCAGTGAAGGCAAAAGGCGGAGAACAAGCCTCCAGAGGCAACAGCAGTGCTACACCATGGTATTGTCACAACAGAAGGGGGGTAATGGCTTTGGCTTAGATGCATCAAGATACTAATGCTCAAAACAAGTTTCCATTTTACTGGCTGCAGTTTTTGTGGGCCTGAAACAAGAACTGTCTTCTGTTCATTTGCTGACCATTTCTGGTAAATACCAGTAGGAGGAGGAGGAATCACAGCTGCAAAATGCAAGGAAGTGGATCTAACACGCTTTGATGCAAGAAAAAAAAAAAAAAAACAAAAAAACAAACACACACTAACCTATGAAAGGAAAGGATGTAAAAACAAGCTCCAAGATGTTCTTTTAGGTTTGTTCTGCCACACTGCTAGATTAACATTTTAAACATTCCTTGTGTCTCATTCACAGTCCTGTATGAGAAGTAAAGCACCAGATCCAAAGAAACTAAATGAGTTCAGCATTAGAAGTACCAGTGCCTGGGTATCACCTCTTTGTGCAAATAGGGTTCAGGCTGGCTTTCTACACTGGATCTTAAAAACTAGGTAATGATAAATCTCAGCAGATCCAAAGGACAAGGAAAAGACTGCTTTTACAAGAGCAGATGGCTTGAGCCAACACAAAATAATTTCAGGACACACAAAGGCTATTGCAGGTTAACAAGAAGCCAGTTTTTTCTCAGCCTGACTTTTAGCACACACTAAAACCCATTGAACATCACCAAATCCTTTTACAGAAAGCCTAAGAAGATGAATTCTGCCAATCTGAAAATCAGTAAAAATAAATGAGAGCTTTTCCAGAAAGAACTAATTTACCTTGCACACATAATCAGAGAGAATTCCTACAATAAGAAGCTGAACCAGTGCATACGCCGACCAGTTGCCCAGACTGCAACAGAGTTTTTTCACCACTACAGAACATTTTTTGTGGGTTCATCAACACTCCAAAGTCAGCAGAAATGCAAGGCAAGAAGGAGAAAACACTCTGGTGCTCAGCAGAATGAGATCCATCACTATTAAATGGCTTACATTTCTATTCTGATTTCAAAACCCTTTTCACCATGTTACGAGTTGGGCTTGTAAGCATGGTGACTCTTTCAAAATTGATTTAAATTTTCCAGGAATGTTCACTGTACCACTTCCCCAAAAATACTGGAAAAGGTTAAAAGCTTTTGATCTCTGTTTGAAATACAGTGAGTTCAGAGCCAGCACATGACACTGAATCCTGGCAACACTTTTTTACTGAAGAACATCTTGCCAGGCAAATGGAAACTGGAAATGCTGTGCTTCCACCCTGACACACAAGCCTGGGCAAAACCACAGAAACATTGGTGATGCAGCAATGACTTGGGACCAGGAGCTGGCCACAGAATTGGTTTTAAGGAGTGGAGAGCTATTCGGAAGAGATGACTGTCTCCTCTTGTGCCACCACATGTATAAATACAGACGTTCCCAGTGGGAGTGAGCTTGCAGAAAGGCACTTTAAAGTAATACAAGCTTCTCATAACTGGAGACTGAGTATCAGTGTTTTCTGTGACTGCAAAATCACACAGCAAACACAGTCTCCTTTTGGAATATTACAGCAGAAAAAAAGGATGGGGTATAGAGTGCATAAAACATTCAGACAGGAATGATAGTCCAAATAACTGGTCAGATCTGGGACTCAACCCTAAGGTCAACCTAAAAATGTGCAATGGGATTTTGGCATGATCTTGTCCTAAAACTCAGGGATCAGTTGCAGAAATCATGGCTAGTGAAATGGGGACAGATATGTGCTGGGGCAGCATGTTTTGCAGATACAAGAGGTGGCCCCCGGGCTTGTTATAAGGATTCTTTCCATGGGGTTATGAAAAAAAATCCATGGACATTTAGACGAATATATAACTTCTGTGTAAACATGTAAATAGTTAAGTGTCATTTACAATCTATTATGCATTTCTTTTCTGACTGAATGAGTTGTTTTGGATATCACCATCAGCAGTAGAATGGGAAAAGCTGAATCTGGGATGTTGTTACAGGCTGGGCTGCAGCTGTATTAAAATGATAAAAATGAACTACTGTCCTTCAATTTTAAATAAAAAGGTAGGCACATTTTTGACATCAAGCAGCTGAAACAACACTCCCCCTTAAGATACATGCAAGTAGCCACACCAAAAAAGTTAATGTTTATGCAAAGTTCACACGAGCAAGAGCGTATCACTGGCTATATATTGCGTGACTTTCAACAGTGGCTATTTTTGCTTTAATTTTCTTGAGTTACCATTTGCTTAGTGAAGATGGTTGTTAGCAACTGCAGTAACTGTATTTTTTGTCATGTCCTAATTTAGTGAAGGGAATAATTTCCAGTGGGAATTTTAAGGTGAGTCTGGAAATGGCAGAAGCCACTCCTACAAAATGAGAAGTTATTTAGAGAAAAGCTAACATACTAAAGCCGAGGCAAAAGATCCAACAGATGGGGAGGGCACAGCTCCCTGCAGAAGTCAGTGGGCTTTGTCCCCAAAGGACAATCAAGCATTCTGCAAGACAGGTCCAACTACCCTGCATCTTTGCTCAGAGTCAGCAGTCATTTAAAATATAATGGTTTCTAGCCTGGAAAGTAGCATGCATTGAATCTACCTGACCCAGGGAAATTTTAGCTGAAAAAACAGCACAGAGAAATTGGAGCTGTCCTAGGATGGTTCCTACTTCAAAGTTCATCCACAGTCAGCACAGACAATGCTGTTCAGGTGCTCTGTCTGCTGACAGCACTGAGCGGAAAAAAGGAACAATTTAATCCTGAAGGCTGCATCTGTCTACTGTGCATGATCTCTCACTCACCAGAAAAGATGGACCATGGTTAGACTTCGTAGGTAAAAAAATAATCAATGGTATTTTACTAGTCAGCTACAGGGTAATGGCACTTGCACAGCATTAACAATTTATCAGCATTTTGGCAGGACATGTCAGCATTCTGAGCAACAAACTGAAATGTCCTTTTGAACGACAGCTCTTTCAAGGTCTAGAAAGGCAAAGGGTTGGAAACGTTACAGATGTGCAAGAAGTAAAGCAAAAAATTAGTCCGAGTACTAATTGGACAGAGTTCTGGAAAAGAAGGGAAAGCAGGTCATGTAAAGCTCTTTAGAAGCAAATACCCAAATGTGTTGTTTCTGTAGTTACTTATGTGCTGGGTTTTTTCTGAGAGATAAACATATCCACCTTCCATGAGGATCATTGAAAGAACAAGAAGAAAAAGAAGGGGAAAAGAAATGCAATACATATAAAAGCATAATCAAATCGGCTCTGCACAGAAGTCTCACTCTGCATGCCATTCCCTGCCATCAACACCACCTTCATTTTTTCACTCAGTACGACATCTGTAGATCTCAGATTTGGACATGCCAAAACTGTGAGTTCAATTCAAATGAGCTCCACAAGATGCAGACATTTCTGCAGATTTGCTCGCAGTATCACTGCCATACCTGTCAAGACCAAACCCTAGATCTTCTGCAGCTTATCCAAACTATTTACATGGCTTTTGGCCTGATAACTTACATGGCTGAGAAACTTCCCCAAGGCTATTGAAAAAGCAACCCACCTTTATCCACATTTAACAAATTCTGGGGACCATTTCCCACCACATTTTAAATATCTTTCCTATTTAAAATTTCTTACCTGAAGAGTTTTGACTTTTCCCAAAACGTTCTCCTGTGACATTGCTTGGATGGCCTGTTCACTCTCTGTTCTCCCATCAGGTATAAAAATACTGTCATGGGAAAAAGCTCGACTGCCCATAGAATAATGGGAGGACCTGGAAAAAACAGTTAAAAAGTAAATAAGCACAGCAATTAATTTGCAAGTGATCCTTTTATATAATAGCTGCCCTGCTGTATGGATTTTCCCTCCCCCTCTTGCCTTGTACATAAAAGATTTAAACATTCTCAGAGGAGAGCTGTCCAAATGCTCTGTTATCAAAAGTTTAATGGAGGTACACAGTTTTCCTCCTTGGAAGGATACAGAGTGGAGTATTTTTAATAGGCGTGTTGAGAAGTTCAATCGATTTTCCATAGAAGTCTCAAATCTAGATGTTACTTTTAGGATACAGAGTAGATTACAATGGCACATATTTACCACACCGCATATTTAAAAAAGCCTCCATTCATGCTTAGTCCCAAGGATGCCAAGGAGGAGAACGTGTCACAAATGACCTAGTTATATGGCCCTGCTCTAAAACCAAGGGCAAAGGGATTAAACAAAAAGTAGCTTAATTTACTAGAAATCTTAAACGTCTCATCAAGAAAACTAAGAATTAAAAAAAAAAAAAAAGGTCTGTGGAATGTTACTTTGGGGTTTTGGAGGCATTTGGGAGGAAAATGTTTGAGTCTGAAAGTCATGTTTTGTTTCACTTAGAGTATTTCATGGTGAGTAGAAAGCCAGTAAAGTAAAAACATGATAAAAACCACAGTAGAAGAAAACTGAACAACTGAGAGGTCTTCAGTCTCTCCTTTTAATACCTTATTGGCAACTCTATGAAACTTATTTATAGCTTCACTAAACAATCTGGAGAAAGAAAATAGATACTTTCTGTATCAATCTAACCAACACAACCTTCTAGATGTGATAAAAACATTATAAACAAATACTTCAGCAAAACAAAGGAAGATGATGCTTCCAGAGAGAGGGGGTAAGTAAAACAGCAAGGAAAATTAGAGCTTCACAAATTTAAGAAAATCAGTATATTACCTTTTTCTCCCTTTTAAAATGTGCTAATTGTTTATAAGGTGTTCAAGATATTTCTGTTCATACTTGGGGAAAAAAAATAAGTATGTTCGGAATGTATTTATTACCTTTTCATCTCCTTTTTTCCTGAGGTACGAACATAATCTTTTAAAGTAAAAGCATTTAGCTTTTCTTACCAAGGAAGGATGTTATGGCACGTTACATTAACCTTTATAACTGATTAAATGATAGGCTACTCTTGACTTTTATAACAAAATATCTCACAGGTGACCTGAAAATAATAGGAGAAAAAACCTCCCACAACCTCTCATTCTCTCTAGTTTATATATAAAATACATTTGCACTCATAAAATAATCAATCCAAGCTTTTGGGGAGAACACATACAGCTCTCTATATCCTTTCATCCTCCATGCAATCACAGACCAACTGAAAAAACTACTTTTTATCCAGAATTAATATTTGAACAACATGCTTCATTTGAAACAAAGCAGCATACAATCAAGCAAAGAGCTGGTCAATATTTCACAGCATTTTTAGCCATCAAAAAGACATTTAACTGATGCTATATTCTATTTTAGATTTTTTTTAAAAAAAAAAACAAAACCCACAGCTTGATTGCTTTTGGCTGCTACAGGTTATACACCTTTTAGAAACCTTTTATTAGAGAAACCATAAAATTATATTTTTAAACCCTCTTCTAAAAAGGCTTCTATACTGAATTGTCATGACTCAGCCTGTACAAAGAGCTGTGGTAAAATTGCGTGGCATTGGAATATATCTCCCTTCCTTGGCTGTCCAGAAATCAGCCCACGAACCACAGTCTGAGAAATGCCCCTCAAACAGAGACAATTTCCTACCAGGCCTGGCTTGCAAAATGATGGTTTGACATGAAGCTGAATAGAAGTTGGCTTTTTTCGTATAACCATGTAGGTCTGTTTGAACCGAAAGCTCCAGCACTCCATTCAACAAGGGGGAGAAAAAGTCTGCGTTCACAACCAAACCTGAGAAGAACATGCATACTTTGACAAACCAGGCCATGCCAACCCCTCCGGCATTTGCACGGTTCAATATGTGAAGCTGCTGCAGGTGCAGAAGGCAAGGCCAGTGTGAATTTATTGTTTACTATTTACCTTTGAGCTGAGAGATCTGCTGAGGATGCATAATCCAGGTCATATTGTGCTCCAGAGAGGATCCTCTCTCAAAGATTTTTCCAGCAATACTGTGGCTCAGCTGCTTATGGCTTTGTCTCACAGCTATTCATCGTGCATATGACACCATTCTCCCCTTTTACTGTCCAGTGGATTGGCGTTCTCATACTTAAAATTAGACAGCTCATGTTTATCCCTATTGTTTGTTACAGCTAATTAGTAGTCAAGGGTTGCAATTCAGGCACCAAAGAGCTCAGCGACTTGTTTGCAAGTTGTTCCTGACCTTACTAATGAATTTGTTAATATTTAAGTTGGGAGCAGCCAGCCTGCAGCTTTTGAACTGAACAGGGTTTGCTAGCAGTGCAAACCCCAAAACTTCAGGTGACCAGCAGCAGGGATACTCTGGCAGTAGGAATTGCCCAACAATCTGAGTCCCTGAAATGGAAGAAAAGAGCAACTGCTGAGGTCAGTGTTGGTGGGCTGCCTAGGTCATGGCTGCAGATGAAGATCTTGCCCATCCTGCTCTGAAGCCAAGGGTACCCTTAGTGGTCTAGTCTCACCTCCTGCCTGTGAGCTAATACAACGAATCTTCTGACTGAGATGTGCAGTATACCACCTTTTGGCTACACGCATTTTGGGGTTTATGGCTGGTGCAATCAGACTTGTTAAAATGTGATTTAGAACTTCCTCTTGGACACCGGGTCATGTGAAACAGCTTATGAGCTTCACGTGACCTGCAATCATAAGTACATCACCGCTGAAAGCCCAAACCTGTCTTTGACAATTGCCCACAATGGTACTGATGGCAGGTTAGGACCATGCTAGGCACATACAGCATCTCTCTCTGACATTCTCCCATACGTCATCTGCTTTCAGTTTAGCTATTTCCTCACCACATGGCATCACACATTTTTGTTTCATAGAGCTGAGGCCAAACATATCTGAAACAGAATACCAGGTTGGGAGGGACCTCAAGAATCATCTGGTCCAACCTTTCCTGGCAAAAGCACAGTCTAGACAAGATGGCCCAGCACCCTGTCCAGCTGAATCTTAGAAGTGTCCAATGCTGGGGAATCCACCACTTCCCTGGGGAGATTATTCCAGTGGCTGATTGTTCTCATTGTGAAAAACCTTCCTCTTGTGTTCAATCACAATCTCCCCAGGAGTAACTTGTACCCATTACCCCTTGTCTTTTCCATGTGACTCCTTGTAGAAAGGGAGTTTCCATCTTCTTTGTAGCCACTCTTTTAATACTGGAACGTGGTGATAAGGTCTCCCCTAAGCCTTCTCTTCTCAAGGCTGAACAAACCCAATTCTCTCAGCCTTTTCTCAAATGGCAGGCTTCCAGTCCTTTGAGCATCTTTGTGGCCCTCCTCTGGACCCACTCTAGCCTGTCCACATCTATTTTGCAAAGCAGAGACCAAAACTGAACACAGTATTCCAGGTGTGGCCTGACAAACACCAAGCAGAAGAAAAAAAAAAAAACAACTTTGACAGCATTTGTCCATTTTTGTTTTCTTATTAACTTGTTACTAAATCAAACGTACCACAAATTGTCAGAACATGTGGAAACAGTCACAAGAAACCCCACAGTGAATTAATCCAAGGTTTTTCTCTACTGTTATCACCTCAAAATGCTTTGCAGATATACTATATACTTCAGAACTGGGTGACCGAGCAATTTTGCTAGCCACTTGTCCAATAACTGGTAAAAAATGTTTTACAAATTTTTCTTAAATGTATATGTAGGCTAAAGTACATTGGTAAAAACATTCACACATTGTAGTAACCTAGTTTCTTTTACAGGTGAGTTTAAACAGCATTTAAGGTGATTTCCAGGCTACTTGAACTTTCCAAAAGGTCTCTTATTTTACTCACTTGGAGCCCACAATCCTTTCAAATCTTCCCAGCTGTGAGTTTGACAGGTTATATTACAAAGGTCCTTTTTTCACTCTCCTCATGTTTTATTTTCAGAAAGACTGAATTTCTTTTAAGTCATAATACAGTATAAATAATTGAGTTTCCTTCACTGCTACCACCATTCCCACCTCTGAAGTTTTTCTCAAAAGCCTTTATACAATAACATCCTCACAATCCACAACTACAGGCTGTCCTTTGAAAAGCTCTCCCTCAGTTAAAAGGCATGTCGACATCAGGAATGGCTTTTGATAGATTCATGGTATGTCAGAGACCTGGGCTACAGTCACAGCCCTGGTTGAAGGTATTACAGTTTCAAACTGCTATATCACTTCCAAGAGATGTGTGAAAACAGTGGCATCAGTTTATGAGCTTCTGTTGATAATACCAACAATGACACTTCAGAGGCTGTTTGTGCTGAAAATAATTGAATCACCACCTGACTCACTTCCAGAAACCTGACTAAATTAAATGAATTATGGATGTGCTATACCAAAATACAAAGCACTTCTAGCAAATCCTTAAAGATGTTCTCTCTGAAGATGTGTTGCACCTCAAGTATCACGTTCCAGTTTCAGTTCCAATACACAAATTTTCAAAACTAATTTTCTCATACTCGAAGCAAAGTTAAATTCCATTCATTCTCAGGGTTTTTTCTTTGCTACACCTGTGTCCCTCCTCAGACTCCTGAAGATCAGTCTGAATACTTAGTTTCTCAGCAAAACCAAGAGCATACTTTTCACCTTCTTTTATTAGGATGAAATTCTTAAGAACTACTACATTTTTGAGAACGTATGAGGGGTTCTTTGAGACACATGTCCTTTGGCACAAAAAGAGTGCACCAAAATATGTCTTTATCTTGAGGGTACCCCAAGAGCATAAAAGCACAGCAGAGCCAACCATCCCACAGGATTTTTACAAATAATGAAGCCAGTAGGGACAAACAGGTGGGAAACAGAGCAAGACACAGAGCATGAGAACCACACCACATTTTGACTATGGACA